ATAGACAGCTAAGTTAAATAGAAATTAATATAAAGTTAGAGAGGGACTGGGCTCTCAAAAAGTCAGCACAAAAATAAAGACATCAGAATTGGAACTGGAGATGTATCTGAAGAAGGCCAGGCCTCAAGATAAAGATACAATGACTAGGCCTACATTCCTCCCTAAAGGATAAATAGTAACTTGAAATTATACTGTAATTAGCAAAACTTGGTCCAGTAAGTCCTGATAGGCATCACATGCCGAGGTGGGTGACCAGAGCATCTGGACCCATCCTGACCCAAAAATGTTTCTGATCTTTCATGTACCCTTGCTACATGATTTGTTTCTCTATTGGGTCAATATTAGCTAAGTAACTATACTTGTAATCCTGTAGGTTCATTGTATGCACAATGTTCTAGTCTCTCCTTATGTCCAATAAAACTCTCCTAACTTCTTCCTTTGGTTTGTGACTTCATTCCTGGATGTTGTGGGACCATGAACTCGACACATTTGACATCTAACAGTCAGCAGTTATATTTCCCCTATTTCAATCCTCTTCTTGTTTCATGTAATATTTTTTGTTATCTGAGGATGTAATTGTTTATTTTAAAATGTTTTTCTGCTTTCAGCATCCTTTCTTATTTTTCCAAGGTCCCTTTTTTTTTGGTACCGGAGATCGAACTCAGGACCCTGCACTTGTGAGGCAGGCAGCGGCACCACTAAGCTAAATCCCCGGCCCTCCAAGGTCCCTTTTGTTTACTTTAGTCTGATTTTCATATTGGAGGCTTTCCTTAATCATCTGGTGATCCTTGGCTCAGCCATTCTGATATTTAAAATGGATACACTAGAAAGCAAATTGGTGATTAGACAGCTGTGTGCATTTGCAAAATTTTATCAAAAAAGCCCACGTGTTCTTTACTATTTATAAGTTACACCTCAATAAGAAAGAAAAGGCAAAATGAAGTAAATTGGCATTTTTGTGTACATGGGCAGAGCTTGTCAGGATGATTGTCGGTGGGGTTCACAGTAGGGTGCTTGAGGAGGAATTTAGTTTCCTCTGTATCTCTTGGTTCTTTTGCAATTCACCTTCTCCAGAGATGGCTCTTCCACTCTCCTGCTGAGGGATTTAAACCCTGAGTGCCCTCTGTGAGTCAGTGGAAGGGGCTGAGAAGTCCCAGCTTCCAGTGTACACCTTTTTCTACTCACTCTTGTCTTCCAGTAGGCCTGTGAACTGTGACTCTGCAGTCTCTCAGGTTTATTTTCCAAAATAAAGCTTCCACTTCAGGCAGTATGTAGTAGGGAAGAGGGTCTGAGGATCTAACAGAGCTTTTCTTTTCTCCCTTTTTTCCTAAGAACCTTAAGTGCAAGGAGTTGGGATAAGTCATCATTTTGCTCTAAATTCATTAGTGGTTCACGCATGGCTTTCCCCCCATTCCTCCCCATTTTCAGCTCTGCACCTTATCCCAGTCACCTGCATGGGCATCTGGTGTCTCTTCCTCTTGAGGTGCCTGTGAAGGGCACCAGCTTGCTTCTGACTGCTGTTCTCTGTTGTAAGCACTTCATTGTAGCTTTCTCACCTGTTGTATCAGGTACCTGTCCTCCACTTATCTTCACAGATAGTGGTTTGGGGTTTTTTTTTGGGGGGGGGGCATTGATATTGCTTTGTTTCGTCAATGATGGAATTTAGGTGTCTGTTTCTTGTTCTTATAGTTGTTTTGGGCTGATTTCCATTAGGAGGAAGCAGTCATAGTTTTACATTGTCATCTTTAAACCAGGAGTCTACAGTTTGTTTTGTTTTTCAGATAGGCTCTTGCTGTGTTGCTCAATCTCCTCTTAAATCTGTGGGTTTGAGCAGTCTTCCCATCTCATCCTTCTGAGTAGCAGGGAATATAGGGAATATAGGTACCTGCCGTCATGCCTGGCTTCCAGTTGTTTTTTTGTTTGTTTTGGTACCAGGGATGGAACTTGTGCTTGCGCTTTCGAGGCAGGTGGTGGACCCACTGAGCTAAATCCCTGGCCCTTCTAGTTGTTTTAATCTCAAAAGTATGTTCTGTTTTATCATGATTGGGCTATACAGTTAGTACTCTTGACAGATGAGTTCTTACTCTGTAAGACCTGACAGCACAAGAGGCCATCATGCCTAGAACAAACTGCTGAGATTTTAGAAGCCAGGGATTACATGGTATGCACTTTTACACCCTTAGTTTCTAGGTAAGTTTTTGTTGCACTGAAAACAGAATTAAAAATACATAGACTAGGGGTGGTGGTGCACACCTGTAATCCCAGCACTCAGTAGGGTAAGACAAGAGGATTGCCATGAGTTCAAGGCTAGCCTGGAATATATAGTGGGACCCTGTTTTTTTTTTTTTTTTGGTACAGGGGGATTGAACTTGGGTCCTTGTGCTTGCGAGGGAAGCGGCAGAACCACTGAGCTAAATCCCCTGCCCTGTGGGACCCTGTCTTAAATCAACACCCCCCCCCCCAAAACCCCAAACAAACAAAACATAGGCATACTGCCATATAAGCATATAAGCCATATAAGCATAGGTATAGAACATTTATTTTTATTTTATTTACTTTACAGAACACTTGTTTTTGTTTGTATTTATAAATGAGAATTTTTAAAAAGTAATGCAAAAATGGGGGATGTTGCTTTATTGCCTATAGTGAATTAGTGTGAAAATAATTTCTGACCTGGTTCTTTTTTGGGTGGGGGATGACCAGTGATCTGACTCAGGACTTGTGCTTGTGAGGCAGGTGCGGTGCCATTGAGCTAAATCCCCAGCCCCACTGACCTGGTTCTTATTTATGACTTTATAGACAATGTGAATTTTTTAGGAATATTAATGTATAGTAACAACACGTACTTTCTTTTCTTGAACAGGCCAGTAGATACACAGAGAACATTTTAAAACCTCGCCAGGAAATGAAGTTAAAAAAACTGGAAGAACGCTTTTATCAAATGACGGGTGAAACCTGGAAGTTAACCAGTAGTCACAAACTTAGGGTTAGAAAATACTGTTTTATATATATATATATATATATGAATGTATGTTTTATTTTATCCCCCCACTCTTTTATATTTTGAATCCTGCTATTACTTAGGTTTCTTTTTATTGGTTTCTTAAAAGTTGAAAATGATATTAAACAGTACAGTCTGTCTTTTAAGAGTCTTTGTTGATAATGATTACTTACCACTTTTTATTCAGCATGCTTGTGTATCAAGAAGTTAAGTTCTTGGTGCCTGAAGAGCGTGTATCTTAGAAAAGCTCAGTCATAAGGCAGTCTTCAAGAAAACTGTAAAGAAACCAGTTTTAAGGAAATTCTGATCTTTTCTCAATTTAGACCCCAAAATATTAAGCTCACATTATATTTATTATGTTTGACTCTGCTTATGAAGTCATATTAGCCTTTGATTATTTTTTCCTTCTGACATTGAGGACAAATTATGTCATTATCTAATATAAGTTTATAATTTTAAGTTTCTTAAAAAAGGATATTCATAGAGGTTTTAGAGTAATTGGCCACAATTTTTATGTGTAAGGCCCATTTCTATTCCAAAGACATTTTTGGTGTTTTGGTTATTGGCTCTTTGTTTATATTGCATATTTTACTGTCTTGTAAAGAAAATGATCTAGTAAAGATAAACAAGGTTCTTACAGTAAGCCATAGGTAATAAAATTAACGTGAAAGATGGGCACAGAAAATACAACTGCTCTATGTAGTGATTTCACTCGAGTTCAGTTTGCCTTCTTGTTCAGCGTTGTGGTTGGTAGACATTGGTAGGTTGATTTTGCTTTTGAACAGGGTGCACTGTATTGTTCAGGCTAGTTTTACCTCCTAGGCTTAAGTGGTCCTCCCACGTCAGAGGGGACTATAGGCGAACACCACCATGCCGGCTTGCAGTACTGATTTTAGCCTTGTCCAAGGTGAATTAGTCATTCTACCCCTCACTTTTAAGCTGTCTTCATGGTACTACTGGTACATATTTTAACCTGATTAGTGGAGACAACAGAAGCCAAGGACAGGTTCAACTATTAGTAAACTTAAGGCTCTTAGGTATGTCAGAGAACATGAGAAGCGGAGCTGAAGCACAGTGTTAGAGAATCAGCTCCAGCATTGTAGGCTGCATGGAAGTAGTCTGAACTGGACTTGGCAAAGTTAATTTTTTAGCATTAAGATCTCTTGATTCCTATTCTCCATATTCCTTCCACCAAATTTTCTTAGGATAAAGAGGGATTAACCTTACCTCAATGGTGAATATTTTAGCGTGATAAAGAGAACTTTTTCTCTTAGAAGCGTAGTTGTTATGGAAGGAGTTACTAAGCGAGTAAGTATATGTCTGAGAATTTGACATTTAAGTAAACTATTTTGCTAAGGAAAAATTTTAGTAGATAATATTAATAAAGAGTAATCTTAGCAGGATGTGGTGGTGCATGCCTATAATCCCAGCACACAGGAGGCTGAGGCAGGGGGATTTTGAATTTGAGGCCAGTCTCTGGCTTTTTTATTTTTATTTTTTTTGGTACTGGGGATTGAACTCGGGCCCTTGCGCTTTTGAGGCAGGCGGCGGAACAGCTAAGCTAAATCTCCAGCCCTAGGCCTGTCCGGACTGTAAAATGAGATACTGTCTTAAAAACAAAAATGAAAATAAAACCCTCCAAAAGAAAGTACTCTTTGTAAGTTCTGGAAAAAAAATACTTTATCTCCTTGTGTGATTAGTTAAAATGGAAGATCAGAGTTTGAATTTGAAAACTTGACTATGTTTATATATAATCAGATTCAAGACCACATTTGGCTGTGGAAATCTTGTATGGCCACATATGAAGACATAGGGTTTTACATATATTCTATTTTCACAGCCTTTGAAAACATACTCCCTAATACTGTCTTGCTTCCTTTAGGATATCATTCAGCTTTTTTCTTTCTCCCATCCTACTGAGAAGCTTAGGGGCTGATCAGAGATAGAAAGGGCCCCATTAGCCTCTTGTCTATCAGAGGAAACTCCAGAACTGGATAAGCTTATGGTAGTTTCTACAAAATATTAAACCCCATGTAAAAGCCCAAGGAGAGGGCCAGGACTTTAGCTCAGTGGTTTCGCTGCCTGCTGCGCAAGTGCAAGGACCTGAGTTCAATTCCCGGTACCAAGAAAAAAAAAAGTCCAAGGAGAGAATGCTTAAATTTTTGGGGGTCTAATGATGACTTTTTAAAAATAATAATGCCATTATAGTAAAATAAATAATCATTTTGTGTAGAATAAAATTGATGTAAAGAATTTTTTGTTATTTTTGAACAGGGTGATGAAGATTTGGTGCTTGAAAATGTGGGCCAGTCATCTTTTGAAACATCAAACAGAGAAGCCGCTAAGAGACGAAACTTGCCCAATCCTTTAACCCAAGTTCCGCCACCTGCTGACCAGCCCTTGCAGAAAGAGGTTAGGTAGTGCTAGTTCACTGCATTGTGTCCCTATGGTTCTCTGGGCTGAGGTGGTTTACTGGGGGAAGACCATGTCTTCTTACTACCTGAGAAATGATCATCTTCACTATGAATCACTTGTCTTTTTTAACACTAATATTAAGGTTCTGAACCAAACTGAGGAGTCTGCCTCAGCCTCCCAAGTGCTGGGATTGCAGGTGTGAGCATCACACCTGGCAAAAATGTGAATTTCTTTGCTTTTTTTTAATAACCCTCATGCTGACGGGAAATTCTGGTTGATAGTTAGTTGTGTACTGTTGATACCAAGGGAAAAAAATGGATTATTTTGTAAATGCAAATAGTGTTTATTAGATTGGTGTAAGACAGAATGGTGTATTAAGAAATAAAAAAGGGTCCCTAGAAGTGAAGCTGTTAGTAACAATAAAAAGTTAATTTTATGAGAGGAAATCGTCTCAGTATTTGATTTCTTAATACATTAATAGAAACAGGAAAACACGAGTAAATGACAAAAGCAACCAGAGAAAATGGTTGCTATTGCGTCCCCCAGGAGTGTCAATGAGGAAAAAGAAAAAATGGTATTCATTAAAATGTGTATATGTATGTATTAAGTAATTTTAGGATCTTACTGAACTTAATTCATATTAATGTTTTTCCTGGGGGCTGGGGATTTAGCTCAGTGGTTTTGCCTCCTGCGCAAGCACAAGGACCCGAGTTCGATCCCCAGTACCAAAAAGAAAAAAATTTTTCCTGTTTCTTTAAACAGTACATTTTTACATGTCTTAGAACATGATTGGTAGCTGTCATCTTTTTTTTTTTTTTTTTGGTACTGGGGATTGTATTCGGGTCCTTGCGCTTGCTCAGCAGGTGGTGAAACCACTGAGCTAAATCCCTGGTCCAGTAGCTGTCATCTTAAATCTTATTTTTATGATGTATTGTTAGCACAAATTTGCTTATCCAAAAATGTTTATTGAACTCTCATTTCCCTCACCCCCCTCTTCCTTTTCTTCACTGGGTAATGAACCCAGGACCATGGACTTGCCAGTCAAGGGCTCTACCGCTGAGCTACATACACCTCCAGCCCCAGCTCTCATTTACACTGTAAACTGTAGGAACTCTTCTCATTGCAATTATTTTTAAAGGCTTCTTGTACATGTTTACATTCCTTTCACCAATACTTACTTATATTTCTTTAGGTTCCTGACTTACCTGAAGAACCTTCTGAAACAGCTAAAGAAGTAAGCTTATTTATTTTCTAAAAATTATACTCTCCATTTTGCCTAACATCAAGTAAATATATCTTATCTAAATTTGAGTTTAGAGAGAAAAGATAGCATGTTCATGTGATTGCACTGTAATTAAGTCTTGTTCTGAATATGGCATCATTTCAGATTCCTCAGCTGAGTCTTGTTTTAGAAGCCTTCAGTTGGCTATGTTGTCTTTTAGAGCCCACCCACCGCCTGAGGCAGATATAGAGTAAACATAAGCGTTTCTAGAACTTTAGGTCAGCAGTCAGCTGTTCATTAAAACAGAATCAAAATAGGCAGATGCTTCAAATTATAACTCCTCCTTTAGAGAAGAAGACTGCAGCTATGTTTTCAGAATGGTCTGCCATTATGGGGGTGGGCTGGGATTCGCCTATTCCAACGTTGAGCTGCCTTCCTCCTACCTGCTTTGTTATCATGGTACTGCCTTCCTGCCCTGGGCCAGCTTAGTTACAGACACTTGTCAGATACGGGAAACACACATCTTTACATCTTGTAAGTCTTTTGGGCAGTATGTCCAGGAGAACTGTCATAGCTTTCCATTTCTTGAAGGTTAGCAACTGTTATTATTGTACTTCTTGGAAAACATTTTGAGGCAACCTTGAAAGCAATTGGGAGGGTCTCATTTTTGCCAGCACATTTTAACTTCAAGTTTAGTACTTTGAATAGCTGAGAAAAATCTGAAAGTCATCCAAAGGAAGAGACAATGAAGTAAGCAATACAGATCCTGAACCCCTAGGAGAAAAAAAGTTTTTTAAACTTCATTATCTCCCGTTATACCTGACAGATCCATGCCTTAAATATGTTGTCCTGATCTCCACTTCTCATAAATCCCTTGTACCCATAGCAACCATTTTATAACATAAATAATTATAGCTTTGGTTTTCCAAGAAATATAGTTTCTTAATTTGCCCTGGCTTTGAAGCATGTGATATTGTTCCTGTAGAACACCAGTTTGTCACTGAAGGTCTACAGATTACAGACATCAGGCTGTCAGGGAATCCTTTGAAACGGCACTTTTTGGTGGTCATACATAAGACAGTATTTTTCTTTAGATTCTCAGGTTTGTGAGCCTGAAAAGGATAAAAAATACTGGAATATTCTGATTTTGATAGACTCATCATTGGGCAAGGCATTTTCTATCTGTAGTTGCTACTGTACATTTCTAAGACTTAAGCACAAAACCTAATTCTCCATTAACCATTCACAAGCTTGGATTACTCAAATGTCCTATTCTGTCGCTAATTCTTGTTCCTGTCATGGACCTAGACCTTACCATTTTTAGTGCTGGTCTACTGACCTGTTGCTGTATAGTCAGCCTAATCCAGTGGTGGTGAATCTATGGCACTCATGCTGCAGCAGGCTGTTTGTAACATTGAAAGCTCTGAAAGGTTCTCCATCATTGGCCTATTCCCTCTGGACTTCTCTGCCTATCTTTTCCTGCCCATTGTAGCAGTTTTCAGAACAATGAAAATAGACTGTAAACATCATCATAAAAGTTAAGAAAAAGCACTCACTTTTGGTTAGTGTGTGCCTTCCAATCCATCTTCTATCCTATCACCCTAATAAAGTATTTCTAATGTAAAGAAGGCATGCATAGAGCCAAGAATGGGATTTTGGGGTATCTGTCTGTCTTCCCTTTTTTTTGAGACAGGCTCTCACTGTGTAGTTCAAGCTAGCCTCACACTTGAGGCAATCGTCCTGCCTTAGTCTCCGGAGTGCTGGGATTATAGGCATGTGCCCTTGTGCCTGACTGGGATTTGTTTTTTTTGTATATCATATAGTCATGTTTTTGGCTTTCTGAAAAATACTCTTTCCTGTTTTATCAGCCTAACAATTTTGATCTGGTATCCTAATCATTACATTTCATATGACATCATTATACATCATCATACGTATTAGCTTGCTTCTGTCATGACAAACATATTTAAGTCTACATAAGTTTTATGATATATATGTAAAAGAATAATTTTACTTTTAAGAGTACTGGAAATTATAATTTTTAGGAAGTTCTATTTCCCTATTAAAGTTTGATCTATATGGGAGTATTCACAGAGGGACATTTTTATAATTCTGCTTTGTTGGAAGAAGGGACTAACATTCATTTTAAAGGCTGTCAGAAATAGATGAAGCTTTCACTGTCTATCATCTATCTGTATCTGTATTTTTTCTGTATATGAAGTGACTGTTGCTTTATAATAATAAGCTATATGAGAAAATTCCTGTTTTCCTGGAAGCCTGAATAACAGGAGTGGACTAAAAGATGAGGGAACTAATGTGGATGTGATAGTAGAGGGGCGTGTCTAGAAACTAATGCAGTACTCACTTAAGCAGTCTACCTGATTTAAATGTTAAGTATTGTAGTTTAAATAGTTTTAAAATATGGAGATGGTTAGATTTCTTCCAGTCTGAGAGAAGAAAATAATTAACGAGAGTACAGAACTCTCCACCTAATAGTCACTATATGTTATTGTTCTGCTTTTAAAGACAGTAACCTTAGAATTTAAGGTAATTTGAAAATAATTTTGTAAATCATCATATAATGTTACCATATTACCACAGCAACTATTTTCATTATTGAATGCTGTCTTAAACAAATTTTAATATTTTTTTGGTACCAGGGATTGAACTCGGGACCTTGCACTTGTGAAGCAGGCAACAGAACCACTGAGCTAAGTCCCTGGGAAACAAATTTTAATTTTAAATCAAATTTCACTTAACAGTTTGTGTTTGGGACACTGATTTTTTTTTTTTTGTCCTTTTTTAGTATATGTGCTGCCGAAGCAAGCACTTTTTTTTCTTTTTTAAGATGGTCTCAGTATGTAGTTCAGGCTTACCTTGAACTCACTATGTAGTCCAGGCTGGCCTCCTGCCTCAGCCTCTTGAGCGCTAGGATTACAAGCATGCACTACCACACCAGGCATAGGACACTGATTTTTTTTCCAGTATGAATTGCAGCCCACACATTTTAGCTATGTCAGCCTACTCCATTGTCAGTAATAGTAGGAGAAACTGTACAACCAACCTTCCCAGTGATTGTAATAGAATAATTGCTAGATTTCAAACAGTTCATTTCTCTCAAGTATTTATCTCATCATGAAAAATATTCACTAAATTTTAACTGTAGTTTCTCATAAGGCAGTTAGCTTTTTTTAAAAAAATAAGGCAGTTAGCTTTAATTTTGCTGTCACATTATTGCAGTGTAAACAAAACCTTGATGGAAAAATTTTATTGTTTTTCCAACCAAGCAAAGTTGGCTTTTAAAAGTATGTGATTTATTTATTTTATGATTTGTTTTATTACAGAATTTTTTCCTTGGTAGACATAATATAGCAGGGCAGTAGAACTTTCTTTTTTCTTTTTCTTTTTTTAAGCGTAGGAAAAATTTATTGGGAGAAAGAAAGCTTCTGCCTGAGAGAGACAGAAGACGGACCAGAAAGTGGGTTGCCTGCCCACCCCACTTTTCAAAGATGTTTTATACAGCAAAGCCATGTGGTGAGGCGGGTACAAAGTGGGACAAAACTGTAAGACCCAATGGAATTTATGAGGTGGGACAAAACCATGACCAACCAATAAGAGTACAAGTACAGTCACCCAAGTAATATTCATTAAATGGGGATCAAATGGGGGGGCAAGTCACGTAGCAAGCGTACAAGGATCTTCAGTAAGGGTGGGGGTAAGGGATATTTCCTGGAGAGGCTGGGTTAAGGCCTTGCCCCTCCCCAGGTGATTGATACCTGTTTAGAATATTAATCACTGCTCTTTGTCCCCTGGGGAAGCACAAGAGTGTAGTAGTTTCTCTCCTTTTACAATTTCGGCCTTCAGTGAATGTGTCTTGATTGTCTTCCACGTTGGCTCCTCCTGGGCTGGTTCAGTCTAACTGCCTACAAGATACCTAATTAAGTTACCTATCTACAATATTCCCCCCTCTGAAGAAGTACCCCTAACTGCTGTGAGGTGGCAAAGGGAGAAGACAGGTCTGGCTACTTCCAGCTGATGAGGGTCATAGTTGTGATCAGCAGTCAGAGTTACTCTACAGAGGGTCTATCTAAAGACCTTCAGTAGGCGCCAGGCATTGTCATCTTGGGTAGCCTTACAGCTTGGGGTCTGGAGGAGACAAAGCCAAAGAAACAGTTAAGAATACATGGGCCAAATTATAAGGTCAGCAGGATTGCTATGAATATAGCCATCAAGTGTTTCTACTGGGAGGAACTAGTAATAACCTCCCACAAAGAGGATAAGAAGGTTCAGAATCCAACATAGAAGTCGTATTGTATAGTTTAGCAGTTATGAGCTGTTTACAAGGTCAGTCTGGTGGATCCTGGTAAAAGAAGTCTAGCACATTTGTTGTTGGTTCCATTTGTATGACTGTTTGGAGTTTGGCAGCCTCTAGGCAAGAATAAACAAAACTCTTAAAGAAGTTAGAGCATGTATAATCTAAGCATGAGCACACTAGAATGGAAGGGCAGGTTGGGAAGAAAGTAACACTTAGAAATTGAAATAGTGATTTTAACCTGCTGGCTCTTACACTACCATAGTTTTTTCCTAATGATCCATAACTGTGGTCAGCTACTGGTATAGCTAGAAACTGCCAGAAGGGGTCAGTGACTGGAGCCTCTTTTTATATCTAGCTTTATTACTGTGGCATTATTTTATACCTCTTTTGGTTATGCTTTTCTGCTGGGTGTTTAAGACCAAGTTAAAGTGAGTCCTGTGTCAATCAGTATGAAACTCTTGCTGTCTATTAAGGTTAGTTAAGTCTCCTCAGGCATTACTTTGGAAACGTGCATAGAGCCTCTCAGCTCCTCTGTGTGTCAGCCATCAGGATGGGTCACAGCCTTGCTTGACAATGTTGCTTTCAGTGAAAGCATGGGAGATTTTTCCCTCTTTGTGACCCTCCTTTGGTACACGGTACATCTGTCCTCTGGTGCCCAGCAATCTCCCTTCTCACGAGGTTGAGTGACTTACCAAAGATGTAGGGTCCTGTAGGAAAGGTTCCTTTCTGTCCTGGATCTTTGTTGACCTTGAGGGGCCAGGGCCAAAATATTGGTTGTCTTTCATAGCCCAGTTACCTTTCTAGTTTTGGTCTCCAAACTTTAGTTGTTAAACACCCAGAAGAGAAGATCAGTGACATAAGTATTTCAGTAGGAGCAATGAGATTAACTATTATAATTTCGTCTGGACATTAAGCACATTACTTTGAAATATAAAGCATAGTTACAGGGCTGTTATTTTACCAACCATGGTCATTTAGTTGAATCCCTGCAGTTAATAGACAACAGTTATACATTATATAGAGAAACTTCAGATCAAGAGCTACACATAGTATTTTACCATGACAATCATGATGACATTTTCTTTGTAACACTTACATGTCCATCTTAGTACGGAACAGTCTTTCAGTAAAATACCTCCATCTAATCACAAGACATTAAATGACATAAAGAAAACTCTTGTTATCCTTTAGTAGGATGCCATCTAAAGAGAATATACATATTGGCCTATAAATGTACCTTAAGAGTTCATAATGTCTAGCCTCTAATTTTGTTATCTGGCTGGTTATCTCATGCTGGCTTGACATGTACCTCTTATCACAAGTAGCTGGAGTGTAAGAGAAAGGCAGATACCTGAGTCAAAAAAGATCATTACCATAAGCAGTATCCTAGAAGACTTGTACACCCAGAAGGCATGAATACATACACCATGAAATAACAATAAGTGTCAGTTACATGAAACCCTTTGTCCCTTAATTTTGTTTTGTACCAACAGCATTTTAAATAAAACCTTGTTTTCCCACAGAAGACTTAGACCATGACCAGTGTATACATATCACAATGATATGTTTAGCAGTGTATTTCCCACAAGGCTATATTGGGGTCCCCTTTGTGAACAAAGGCTGGAATAAATTATTTTCCAGGCAGCCGCTCCTTTATTTACCAAGGGAAGTCCTGTCCAGTAGTTTTCCTAAGCCCAAGAGTCTTTATTATTTTAACAAATCTTTAGATGACCTATTAGAACCAGATCATAACAATTAACACATTATTTTTGACCAATGAAAGATTTCCAAGTTATACTTAGACAAGAATATGTACTGCATTTGTAAAACCAGTTGACATTTGGATAATCTGGCAACCTGGGGAAGCATGTCTTTAATTACATTTATCTATAAGCCAACTTGAGTTACAGGCAAACATTTTAAAAAATCCAAAATGCCAAAAGAAAAAAAAGCTCAAATGTAACAGCTGTGCGTGTTTTAACCAACTGAGCAGACAGACACACACACACATAAGACACCTTATTTATAAACCAGAGTGCATTCAGATGTATTTGGCCAAGCAGAAGTATAATAAATTTTATAATTTTTAGGTTTATAATTATAAAAGACTAGTCAGAACGTTGTAGATCAATTAACAGAGATCTCTTATAATAAGAATCAAAAAGAATAAAAATCTTTTACACCTGTGAAAGCAAAGACCATTTTAAGATGGGCCCTAAGCTGACACTATCTGACTGGAATACCCAGCTATACAGGCTTCTCATGGTTGCTTTTATAGCCACAGTTGTTTGACAGCCACATGTAATTGTTCCTTCTAAAGGGACAGACTGTTAAAGAATTTTAACTATCTTCAGTGGAGGTCCACTCAGGCCAGGTTTACATGTAGAAGAGACTAGGTGACACTCTTTAGAGCTAAGTATGAATTCCAAGCAGTAAAGGAAGAAGGCCTGTTAAGGCTCCAACCTGCTGTGCTGCAGATGTCTACCTATGACAGTTTTTTCCATTTTGAAAAAAAAAAGGAAAAGAAGGCATCCCTGTCTCTCTTGTTCTGTGCCTAATCTAAGGTGCCCCTTAGACTTTATCTCGTCCAGTACCAGTGGCAGCTGACTAGAGGTGCAAGGAAGTGGCCAGAGCTGGGTTAGCTGTTCTTACCATTCCCTAATTTTGCCTGAGGTCTGAAAGACACATAAATCTAGACTAAAACTTTTACATTTATCTTTTGAGAGTTTCAGGATTAAACCTAAACCAGTTTTCTATACGGCCCAGTGATAAATGAAGGTCAGCTTTACTCTGGAAGGATTCCAGGGAGGGGAAGCTCACCATTCTGGAAGCTTTGTCTTGAAATCCAGCAGCCACAGAGGAGGGAAGTACCTTGAATCAAACTGCATTATTTCTCAGGGGCAGAGCAGTGGAAAAGGGACAGAAGAGTGCCTTTAAGTATGGCACAAGAACTAAATCTTAAGCGTCTCAGGTGTAGAAGGACAATTAAGATCAGGAGCTTTTCCAGGGTGGATCTGTGATCCTTAGCAAACCATGTCTGTAGAGACAAAAGCTATGATTGACTCCAGCTGCATTGCCAGGCAGAAAATCAAACCAATAATCAAAGAACCCGAATGGCTGCTTTTTCCCTCTTGAAAGAGAATGAAAGTGTTTTAACTATATTGTTTAGGGCTTACGCTTTTAATGAATTACTCTGAATGTTAATATCTAATTTATGATTTTAAAACCCTACAGGCTGTTGAGCAGGTCCCTGATTTTGTAGAAACGCTCCCAAAGCCATGTCTCACCTTTTATTAGCACACAAACTGAACCGGTGTCCTGTGGCAGGCACTTAGAAGTGCTTGTTTGAGCTTCTGGAATTTGGTGCGGTCTGGGAACCCAGGTTCTCAGGTTAAAATATGGGTATCTGTCTTTTGGGTTTCTCTATAAGCTGATAGGGGGGTCGTGCAATCTCACTACATCCTGCTATCTGAAAGCCACAAAAGCCTGTAATTTCCAGGAATCTCCTTAGCTGTTTTAGAGTCTTGGGCTGTGGAAAGGAAAGAATTGGTTTAATTCCTTCTTCCCCCAGTCTTTGGGTTCCCTTAGATATAATAAGACCTAAATATTTTACCTCAAGGATGCAAAGTTGTGCGTTAGATCCAGAAACATTATAACCCGTCTGTTAGAAAATTCAGCAGAGCAGATGTCTTGGCTAGAAAGCTCTTCTGAGGGGGCACATAACAGCATACCATGTACATATTACAGGACTAACTTGGAAAAATCTGTAGTATTTCCTTCTATCATATCAGTATCCAGGGATGTCCTCATATTTTTCCTGATAAATAGTTGACAATTTAAATTAACTGAAGGGCTTAGTTCTCATGTTTCTTAGATCTTCAAGAATACATGCCTGAAAATGTCTTCTATTTTAATCTCTTATCTGATTGGCAGGCCAGTAGCGGTTCTGTATAGGAACTACTTGTGTTCCAGTAGGAACCAGTTGTTCCCCTGGCTGCCTGTCTTTTGAGCTTCAAAAATTAAGATATTTATCTCTACATGTAGTAGCAGCTTGTAATATTACTTGTCTCTCATTAGAAATCGATATTTGATTTAAGAGCAACAGTACATCTTTGTAATCTAGTCCATAGGTCTGAGTAAGTCCTAAAGGCCTCCATGTTCATAGCAGGGTCATCTGAAAACCTTCTTAGGTCTCATTTGATCTGTCTTAGATCACTGAGAGAAAAAGACACATGTACACAGGTTGTCCCATTATTTGCCATTTACTTCCTGGAAGGGATGTTCTCTTTGAGGGACCTGAACAACTTACCTAAGGATGGATACAGCCTCATGGAGGTTAATTATGGCTGGCTTAGAAACTCCACCCTCAGCATCTGGTGGTTAGGGTGAGGAGTAGCCTCAGGCTTAGAGGTACTGAATGTCTTAAGGGTGAGGTATCTCTCATTTTTCTATGTCTCACATTTATTTGAACACAAGAATTACTTCTTAATGTAAAGAAAATCTCAAGATGGTTTTCACCATTTTCTCTGTTTTACAGCATAATTCTAATTGAGATAGCATCATAGTACTTTCCTCTGTGTACTTGGCTTTAGGAGGTAGGCACACCATGTGAGGGTGTAGAGAAATACTAAATTGCTCCTTAATATATTTCAAAGGAGTAAGAGGTTCAGATATGGAGCTCCTAATCTGAATCAAGAGAAACAAATATGGCGTCCCATAAGTCTCTGCTTGATTCCTGTGCTCCCTGGGCATCACCCAAGGTTTATACCACTCCAGGGTAGGTAGCTACCATCTGGAGAGAGAACCAGAAAATAAAACTGGACTGGACTGTCTACCCTTTACCAGCGTGTGATCTTATCTTCCTCAGGGAACTCATATCCTACTCTAGTAGGTACTCTTAAAGCGCAAGTTACAGTTGACTTCAGCCTAACAATCAGGTCTAGAGAAGGAAGTATTGCTAGCAAACCAAGAGATTTAAACCACTGCTATCTAGTTCCTTGAAAGAGAGAGGAGAATAAGTCAACAGTCAAATCAGGGCACTTTTTCTGCAAAAGATATCACCTCCAGAGATGGTAGGTCAGAGATTCTGCCCTGGACCCTAGGGCAGAGAAAGCTCTGAGAAATTTCTGTTGTCTGTCTAGTCATTTAGGCAACTTTTATTAGCAGCAATACAAGGCTACTCCTTTAAGGTCCATTTTAAATTCCCTAAGTATTTGAAACTCATAGGTCCTCGTAGCAGCCACAATCTACATAGTAAAGGCACTCTTTTTTTTTTTGTACCAGGGATTGAACTCGGGACCTTGCGCTTTCCAGGCAGGTAGTGGAACCACTGAGCTAAATCTAAATCCCTGGCCCCAGTAAAGGCACTCTTTATCAACTTCCTGCGCACCCATGAATGAAGAGAAAGGCTGACCAAAATAGTCCCATATTCTAGTTAGCATGTAAAAACACAAATGCAAGTTACCGATTACTATTTTCCCTAGTGTAAGACAAAACAATTGTTGCAAATTGCTTTAGTCTGACTTTTTGGAAAGAGGAGCGGCCTGACTACAAGGGATTCTCAAATGAACTCCCAACAAGTTGGAGAAAAGTTTAAGGGGAGTTTTTAACTCACTAGCAGAGAGAAAAAGTCCAAATAAAGCTCAAGCTGGTTAAATGTCCAAAAATCACCATATAGGACTCTGTCAGTCCACAACCTATCAGCAAAGGTAATTTTTTCTATACTCATAAATGATGAAGACCATGCCTGTGGGGGAGAGAAGGTTCAGGTAGCTTTTAATCTATCAAAGATGTGTGTTTTTTAAATCATTTGTCTAGAGGTCTGTCTTATTAGTAGTAGAGAAACAGTCCAAACCTGTAGCTCAACTCTTTTTTTTTTTTGGTACTGGGGATCGAACTCGGTTCCTTGCACTTTCGAGGCAGGCGGTGGAACCACTAAGTGTAGCTCAACTCTTAATGGAGGCTTAAGAAAGGGCTCTGAGGGCATTGTTTCAGATCACTCTGAGACAGAGGATATCTGATGATCACTGTCAGAGTTCCCCTTTCACCTCACTGAGGAGTCCAGATAGAGACAAGATGTGGAGATTTTCTGCTGATTACCCGGACGGGCTATTGTCAGGAGCTAGTTTCTTCTGAGGGACCTCTGGGTATCTGCCAGAGGGTAGCCCTGGCCTTGACCACTCAGTTGTCACCTCAGTTTCTGCTAGTTTCACACAATCAGAAATCTGTCTCCGAGAAAGGAACCCAATTGCCTATCTGGTCAACATTCCACCCACCCTTGGTGTCAATGGGAGTGGGGATTCACCAGAGGGCAACTGGAGAAACCTGTCCTCTGCTTTGAGAGTGACAGCTGCCCGAAAGGCAATTACTAGCTGGCAGAGTGACCACTGTTGGGCATTCTATAAGGGACAGATAAAAGGCTGAACTGTCTTTATCTGAGACGATTTCATAAGAGACCCATTTTCAACATTTTTAAGCAACTAAGTTCAAATGCAGCATATAGAAAACAAGAATAAAACATAATTTTTAACAAAAGACAATGCATAAGAAAAACAAGAAACTTGCAAACATTTAAAATACAACTTAGGGCCAGGGATGTAGCTCAGTGGTTTCCGCTGCCTGCTGCATAAGCGCAAGGACCTGAGTTCGATCCCCGGTACCAAAAACAAAAAAAAACCCCACAACTTAAAATTAAGAAACTTTTCAAATAAAGGCCAGAATTTATGAAACACAAACCAGAATCTATGAAACAAATAACCAGAGCCTATGAAATGAAAAGTAACAATCTATGAAGCAAAAAGACCAAAGTTAGAACCTATGGAACAAAAGCAAAGTCTTACCTCCGACCAGTAATCTCGGTGGAAGACCTCCAAAATGATATAGGGGGAAGAGATGTAACTCTCAAACCTGCTAGATAGCCAGAATACAAGTTCGTGTTCTCTAAAATTGAAGAATGAATTCTAGGAACAACGGAGGTTAAGAGTAGGAAAAATTTATTGGGAGAAAGAAAGCTTCTGCCTAAGAGAGACAGGAGGAGGACTGGAAAGTGGGTTGCCCCAGAACTTTCATAAAGTTTAACTTTACACTGAGTTAAAAAAAATTTATTAGTACATGTTTGCAGTACATAATGATTCCATTCATCATGAGATGAACATTATACTTAATTGGATGTAAATCAAATATCTAAACTACTGAAGTGGAAATTTTTGTATGTGTGATGCTGGGGATTGAACTCAGGCAGGTGCTCCACCATTGAGCCCCACCCCGGGCTAGGCAGCCGGATTTCCTAAGGTGACTTTCCTGAGGGAGGTGCTGCTCTTAAACCCCATTTACACATAGCACGATCCCCAGTAGCTCCTAGGACAATTGATGATGTTAGACATAAAAAAGTGTTTCTTGTCAGGTATATAATGAATTTCAGAATAAATTCATTATCTTCTCCTTTTATAATTGTCTGTAGTATAGTAGCAGTTTGCAAGTTCTTTTTAGCTGTTTGTTTTATCAAAGGGAAGATTATTGGGTGAGTCAATATGTGGAGAAGGTACAGCTGGTCCAAGGCAGTGCAGGCTTCCTAAGCTCCATTACCCAGGATCAACTCATGTCTCTCACATGCTTGGAAAGATGGAGATCGTATGCAGCCTACAAAGGCAGAGTGGATGGGTAACTTTTGGTTTCCCTACAGCCTAGTGTTTTTCTTGTCTGTAGAATATGGGTGGCACTGGGTCTTCTTGGTTTGGTAGGTCACTCTTGAAGCCAGTTGCAATCTGGATAGTATCTGGGCAGGCAGATGCACTTAGTCTCTGGTGTCCTCTTTGGAAGGCTGTTACTGATCGCAGTCAGTAAGATGATGTTTACTTTCCAATTTTGGAAGAATTATTTGTATGTTTAGGGTAAAGTTTATCTGGACCCTGTTGTTGCTCTACCACTCTCAGAGCTAAAGTCCTACAAATCTCTGTGTGAGCTTTTATGATTACAGATATTTCCTAGCAGTAGTAATTAATAAAATAAAGAACGGTGAATTGAATTTTTGGTTTGGATTAGAATTTTGATCTGAACATTTTTATTCCTCAGGTAGTTACTGTTGCTCTTCGATGTCCAAATGGGAGAGTACTGAGAAGAAGGTTTTTTAAGTCTTGCAGTTCACAGGTGAGAGAATTTGTATTTTGAGGGTTTTTTTCTTTCATTACTTAAGATCAAACCAAGGACTTTCACATGGAGCTACATTCACAGCCCTTTTTATATTATTGTTACTTTTTAAAATTTTGAAACTGGGTCTCACTAAGTCACCCAGGCTGGGGTCAAACTTGGAATTCTCTTTAGCGTCTCAGAATATGGGATTACAGCTGTGTGTTTGGATAAGTAGGCATGGTCAGCTTCTCTGAGTTGTGATCTTTGCCTTCAAAGTTTGCTAAGTCCTTCACTGTAGTATAATTTCCTTTTTGTTTTTTTTTGCAGTACTGCAGATTGAACATAGGGCCTTACTGATTCTGGGCAAGTGCTCTACCACTGAACTAGATTCAGACCTTTTTTTATTTTGAACAAGGTCTCGCTAAGTTGGGTCTCACTAAGTCAGGGTGTTCTGAACTTGTGATCTTCCTTGTTCCAAAGTAGCTGGGTTTAAACCCTACCCATCTAACACACACACACACACACACACACACACACACACACACACACACACACGATCATCAGAAGGCATAGTGAATGTTTAAATTTTAAAAATGCATTACAGTAAAAGAGACATTGCCATTAATCCCCCTCAAAACACTCCCCTCACACTTATCCCATCATTCTTGCCATTTTTGTTTTGAGACAGGATCTCACTATGTAGTTCAGGCTGACCTTGAAACTCACTATATAGTCCAGGCTGGCCTTAAACTTGCAGCAATCCCCCTGCTTTAGCCTCCTGAGTGCTGAGATTACAGGCATGCGCCACCACACCTGGCTGGAACACCATTTTCTACTTAGCACACTATCAATAAAAAGAGGGCCAGGGATTTAGCTCAGTGGTTTTACCACCTGCCTTGCAAACACAAGGTCCCGAATTCAATGCCCAGTACCAAAGAAAAAAAATAAAAGAAATAATATCCAGTTTTGGCAAGCATGTGGGGAAAATGGATTCTCCTAATTTATTAATCTGAATATAAATTGGGCCACGTCCCTGTAAGAATTATTGTATTTTAAAAATATTTTAAATTATGGTTTTTGGCCCAGTTATTTGATTTATGATCATTTATTCTGGGAAAATAAATGTTCAAAGTTACAAGTGTTGGTAGGGATTCATTAAATTGAGGTATATCCCTATATGGAAAATTAATGGAGCTTTAAAAATTATGACATAGATATACTTTTGTTCTTTTTTCTTTTTTGGTACCAGGGATCAAACTTGGGATAGATATACTTTTGTTACATGGAGTATCAGAAGGTTCTTGGATGGCAGCTAGCAGCTGAAGTAAGGGATAGAAAACTCTATTACTTACCTTTCTTAAAATAATAAAACATGATTTGTTTAAACATTCCATATTTTGAGGCTGCCATTGCTTGTAGGGAACAGTATGTGGAAATTTTGATCATTTTTATGAGATTCTTTGTGATAGGAAATGTTATGGCCCACTGAAAGTTGGGCTATCATAGCCGAGTGTGGTGGCATAAGTCTATAATCCCAGCATTTGGGAGCCTGAGCCAGGAGGATCACTGACAGTTCAAGGCCAGCCTGGCTACATAGCAAGTTCAAGGCCAGCCTGAACTACATAATGAAACCCTGTCTCAAGAAACAAACAAACAAACAAAGTTGGGCTGTCATAAGATATGGGTCTCTAGGGCCTGGACATATTCATTGTGACAAAACTGTCAAGTGATTCTGAGCCAATGGAGTCCTTGTTCCCAACTGAAATCCCTGAGCGTAGTCTTTACCATCTGTGACTTTTGGCATTCTGTCTTCTGAGCTCTGACCAGAATCTCCCATCAAACTCAGTTTACAGCATTCTAGGGCTGCTTCAGCTGGCATCTTCAAACTGTTGCAAACTCCTTCCATGAACCCACTCCAAAGGCTTCTGAATCACATGGTGAGGTAATGGCACAGCAACAATCCCAGTTCTCTAATACCAAAATCTGTCTTAGTAACTTTCTTGTCACTGATGGGCTGGGGATTTAGCTCAGTGGTTTCAGCGCCTGCCTGGCAAGCTCAAGGACCTGAGTTTGATCCCTGGTACCAAAAAAAAAAAAAATTAACTTTCTTGTCACTGAAAAACAATGCCCTATACCCACAAATTAAAGGAGGGGAGGTTTATTTTGGCTTACAGTTTGTACAGGTTTCAGTCCATAGTTTGCTGGCTCTAAGGCAGGGCAGCATGGCATAGGGGCATCGCAGAGCAGAGCTCCTCACAGCATGGGATACAGAAAGTAGAGAACATTATTTTCCTTTAAACTCTAGAAAAAATTTCTTTGAAAAATGAAAGTTCTGCTTCATTACTCCTAGGGCCATTTCACAATGTAAAAATTATCAGGGTGATCCAAAGGAATACAAGTGTGTATAGTATTTGGTAATGACTGAGCTTTTTATCTTGTAGGTTTTATTTGCCTGGTTAATGAAAATTGGGTACCACACATCTCTATATAGCCTTTTCACTTCCTTTCCCAGAAGACTTCTGGAAGTAAAGGGAGGCTGGTCACTGGCTGACATAGGAATAACTACACATACTGTACTCATCGTGGACGAGAAAGAATAGAGCAACTAGTAAAGAAATGAGAACTACCTGTTCTACATTAAATCAGTTATACTGTGACCTAACAGTTCAATAACAGATTCTTGTTAAAATTATGCTGTACCTTGACTGAGTTTAAGACAATAAACATTTTAAATTGATATACATAGGAATATATTGATGTAAAGGATTGAAAAAGACTCATTTCTGCATGTAAGTTTTGGAATGTGTCATCTTATAATGTACCAAATAAGAATGGGATAACAATGTATATACAAGAAGGCAGTCTATTTATATTTCTTTCCAACTGCCATCATTTCTCACTATGTTAAAAACATTTTTGGTTTCTGCCTCTTTAATCCTTAACTCCACAGTTACTATTTTACAATTCATTCAGACCTTTCAAAATCATGTAAGTAGGAGTCTTTACTCTACAGTTATTTAAGTTTAAAAACTTAAGTTCTTTAAGTCTTTACTGTTCTTGTGAATGGTATGCATTATTGTTTACTTGGCTGATGTCTACAATGCATATAATTTTACCTTGTATTAATTGCAACATTTGCAACATTCCAGGTGGAAATCTCTGAAAGCATTAAAACATTGGTGATGTTTTTTAGTCTCTCATTTCCTTTTCTTGCTCATAAACCTGTAATGGTATACTCATGCACTATAATTACCATGTTCAAACTGAGTATAAAGGGCTATTAACTTGGTTGTAGTCACTCCTTTCTTTCCTGTGCTCACCCACCCTATTCCTTTTTGCTCACCTGACTCCTCTGTGTTACCCTTCATTTAACACTTCTTTATTCCTTTACTGTGGAGTTTATTACACTGTGACTATTCTTATTTTGCCAAATAATCCCTTGGGGAAAAGCTATGTCTTTTTTCCCTGCAGAAGTACTATATAGTAGATGCTTACTTAATACGTGTTTGAAAATATTAGTAAGTTGTCTCAATTTTTAACTTTTTGTGTCTGAACTATGCCACATTAAAAAACATTGATTGTAAATTATAAAAGATCTTCAAAACCTTATAAAGTAAAAAATAAAAAATCTTCCATAATCCTGTACCCAGAAATAAGCATTGGCTTATTATATTGTTGGCTCAGGCCAACAAGCTTGATTGAGTGCAGCTTCATGAGAATTCTTAGAACCACCAAGCTAAGCTGCTCCCAGATTCTCAGCCCTCAGGATTTGTGAGATCATAAATGTTTTGGTCAGCTAGGCCTTGAGCTTATTTATGTGTTTGGTTTTTTTTTTGGTACCGGGGATGGAACTCAGGACCTTTGTGAGGCAGGCAGCAGAATCACTGAGGTAAATCCCTGGCCCCTTTTGCTCATTTGTAATGCAATATATAGCATACAGTGAGGTGCTTCCATAACAAAATTCTAAAATGTGACAGTGACTTTGGGGGCAGGAATAGGCTTTGAAAAGAAGTGTTACTGGAAGCCTGAAGTGCCTTGAAACTGGATAAAAAACTGATAAAGCTTTGAGGGAGGGCTTGGAGGACGTTACTGGCTAAACTGGCAGGAAGTTCAGAAACACCAACAATTACGTGGAACAATTATGTAGAATGAATTAATTGGTCTAGCTAAGAAAACATTTCCAACCAGAGTAGTGAAAATGCCACTTGTTTTCTTCTTGGGGCTTACAGTAAAATGAGAGGGATGAGCTAAAGAAAGAATTGTGAAAAAGGAATCAGGGCTCACCTAGAAGCAGCCAGCCTCTCCACTTGACAAATAATGGTAAAATTAAAGAATGGCTTCACAGCAAAGATCAAATCTAGAACATTCTCAGGAAAACGTCATTTAAAAATGAGGGTAAAAGTATGTCTATAAAATCCTTTGTTTAGGCCTGAGAAATATCAAGTGTAATGGCATAGAGTAAGATTCACAGAAGACTCAGAAGTTTTAAAAATAATTACATCACCTGCTGGGTGTGATGGCACTCAAATGTAGTGCCAGGTACTAGGGGCTAGTGAGGCAGGAGTTGCTTGAGCCCAGGTGTTCAGCTAGACTGGGCAGCAAGACCGTGTTTCTAAAATTAACTAAATAAATGATATAGTTGCATCAGTAGCAACATGGTCAATGTGAACTCTTTCAGAGATAAAATGCTTTTTTGATCTCCAAAATTCTACTGGGAAGAAATGAAGAAAAATGTTTTGCTGTAAAGTTGTGCTACCTTTCACGTAAAATGATTACAAAGGTGAAACTGAGGCCTCCCGGGACAAAGCTGAGAGTCATGGAGTCATTTCCTCAGCAACAGGACTGAGTCCTAACACTTGCCTAACTGGAATTTAGAATCATTTGTGGATCAGTAATTTGTATATGATTTTCATTTCGAACAGCTTTGAGCAGGAATGTCCATGGGAATTTTGTCTGTCCCATGATGGTATGCTGGATATGGGGAGTGGCCCTATCTTATCTTTTAGGCTTATAGATCTGGAGTTGTGTTTGTGAGCTGTACCTGCAGCTGGGGGTGTAGCTTGGTGGTAGAGATCTTACCTAACATGTTCGAGGCCCAGGGCTCAATCCCCAGCACTGGGGGAGAGGGAAGATCATACCCTAGGAGTCTCTCATCTGTTCATAGACTTAATAATGTACATAATAAAATCCTGAACTTTTGAGCCCATACCTTAATGGCACCAGGCTTCTGTGTTCCTTGGGATGGAGGGAATGTGTTTTTGTGTGAGAGGGACAGGAATCACTAGGGGTTAGAGGATAGACTGGGAGCCAGCATACAAGATAGCTCCCAGTACTTGCTTCTGGAATTCACTGTGCTGCACTTTCTCACCATGTGGCAGGGTGGACCAGCAGAACTAACAAGACACGGTATATACCTTCTTCAAGAATTATAAAGGCCTGCACTGCTCTCTCCCTTTGTCTCTGCTCACTTGTTCTGGTGGAAACCAGAAGAGAACACGTGCCCAGAATAGAAACCCATGCCAATATTTCCCTATATTATACTCAGCTAAATTAGATAGAAATTAACAGGCAGTCAAGGATTGAGCACTTGAGGGAGTAAGTGCAGAAGACAGAGACACACCAAGATTGTGGCTGGAGGCCAATGTGAAGAGAGCCAGGCAGACCTCAGGAGGGGGATGCAATATCCAGGCCTACAAGCCTCCCTAGAGATAAAAAGCAGTTTGAGATACTGTAATCAGCACTGTCTAGTCCAGGGAGCCCAGAGAGGCATCAGATGCTTAGGTGAGCGACCGGAACATCTGGACCCATACTCCCCCCTCTTCTAGGAATGCCTTTGTTCTAGGGGAAGTTATAATAAGCTAAAGTTAATGATGAATGATGCTCATCATATACCCTCGTTATGTGCCTCGCTTCCCTGTTGGATCAGTATCAGCTAAGCAACTATACTTGTAATCCTATAGGTTAATTGTAGTTGAATCCAAATTATGGTTTTGCTGTAAAAAATATCCCTAATAAAGAGCCTCAGTGCCACCAACTCAGGACCTGTCTTGGAAATCCAGAAGCTGTTCTTTCCAATAAAACTCTCTTAACCTCTCCTCCTTTGGTTTGGAACTTTATTCCTCGATGTTCTAAGACCACAAACTCGGCATATCTGATATCTAACAGGTTGGGAGTTGTTTTCCTCATCACACCAAAGTGTGCTTGCAGTTAATCCTCTAGCCGCAGGCATAGCTCCAGAGACTGCAGGTCTGGCTGACATCTTTTTAGTTATTGCTGCTGCTGTTTGAGACAGGATCTTTCTATATGACCCAAGTCAGCCTTGAACACATAGTCCTCCTGCCTCAGCCTCCAGTGTGCATGCACCCTCATGCGGGCTCTGGGTGACAGCAACCTTATGAGGATCCTTGAGCTAGAGAGCCAGCTGAGCTAGTCCTGGATGCCTCTTCCATAGAAACTGCAAAATAAAGGTTGTTTTTAGTTACTAAGTTTTGGGGAAATCTGTTATGTAGCACTAGATAATTAGTATAGGAAATACTCAGGGCATTTCCCCAAACAGTACAAAGTCCTTAGGAATGACTTTTACTTGTCTGGGTAGATGTTTTTGGTTTCTGTAGGTGCTGATTTCTCTTAGAATTCCTTTCAGAGATTCAGCAAGCTTCTATTATTCTTTAAAAATAAGACTCAAATGCAAATAGAAATGCAAAAGAAAAAGAATGGACATTTTTTTTTTTTAAACAAGGTCTTGCTATGTAGGAACTGACACTTAAGTTTTTAGATGCTCTCTCCATGTGTGTGTGCATCTGTGTTTACTGTAGCCCTCTGGCAATGAGATGGAAAAATTGGAAACATGATTAATGGATTAATTTTTGTAGGTATGAGAGAGGAGGGAGAGGAGGGAAGGGAAGAGACTTATCTTTAAAGATAACTACTAAAGTATGATAGGAACTGGCTAAAATTTGCTTCAAAAAAATTTGGGGCAAGAGTAATATCAAAGCTAAGTGATAAATACATGGTGGGGGATTTATATTCTTCTTCTGTAAAACTTTCCATGATTAAATGTTAAAGGGTTATTAACAGACTTAAGATTAAGAGGGATGCTTTTTTGACTGCTAGTACTGGAAAAAAAAAAAGGATGATTTGTAGATTTGTCAAGTGACCTATAAGGTCTCACTAAATTGCCCAGGCAAGGCTTTCAGACCTATTTCAACTTAACCTGTTTGCTATTGTTTTTAATAATATCCTTCAATGAAAGAGTGAAAGTGAAAATGTAGAAGACCTACATCTTAAGTACATTACAGAGTATGATGCCAGAAGTTCAACCCCAGCTTGGGCAATTGAGACACTTAACAAGACCCTGTCTCCAAAAAAAAAAAATTTTTTTTTAAGGGTATGGGGGATGTGGTGTGATAGTACACACCTATAATTCCCGCACTGGAGAGGCTGAGGCAGGTGATCACAAGTTCAACACCAGCCTGGGCAACTCAGCAAGAGCCTATCTCAGGAGAAAAAAAAAAAAAGAGGAAGAAGAAGAAAGAATATGCTTCAGAGTATTTTCAAAACATGTAATGAAAATGGTCAGAAATGCCCTGGGATCAGACAGAAACACCCCAAAGCAAGTCGACCTTGGAACAGACTAACTAGGTGGTTACTGGTAGCTGTGGGGTAGCCAGCACAAAAGCTCTGTAAGATTTTCTGACCCTTCTCTTAAGCTCTTAGGAAGATACAGCAAGTATATGACCACAGGTAACTAGCAAAGGGCCACTCACTGTTCCTGGAAGAAGAGCACCTAATCCCATCTTCCTCACCCAGAATTTAGGAAAATATTTATTGCTGCTGGGAGGAGAAGAGATGCAAAGATTGTCTGCCCTGGGAGAAAGAGGCAGAAAAAGGGATCTACCATACCACTGATGGGTGTGGGGCAGAAAACTCAAGCTCTAACCAACTGGAGATACAAGGCAGAGATTGGGCCCCAGGAAGGAGGCCAGGAATGCTGAAGAAACCTTCCCTTGGAAATCAAAGACAAAGGGCCAGCCTAAGATTGTGGCTGAATTTGAACAGAAGAGAACCACACAGGCTCCTACTGAGTGACAAGCAGCACTCCTGGGGAAACTGGGGAAGAGGTGAGAGTGGAGAGAAAGACTCTTTTATGCAGATGTGCGGGGGCAGCTTGAAGCTGAAGGGGGAGCAAGAGCACCTGAGAAAAACCTAGCACCCCAACCTCTGCCCTCAGCACACAGGAGCCATTTGAGGTCATTGGCTTTGATTCTGTGGGTAATGACAAAACTTTGTATGTACCTAGTGAATAATATCTTCCACAAATGAACCCGAAATCTTTCTTTGGTACAAGGAGTTAAACCTCCAAGGGCCTCATGGATGAGAGGCAAACTAACCCCCAGCCTCTTTCTTTTTCGTTTTTGGTACTGGGGATTGAACCCAGGGGTGCTCTACCACTGAGTTTTATTATATCCCCACCCTTTTTCATTTTTTAAAAAAAATTTTGCTATAGGCTCTTGCCAAGTTGCCCAGGACAGACTTGAATTTGTGATCCTCTTGCCTCAGCCTCCCTCAGCTGGGATTAGACATGCATCTCTACACCCAGCAAAAACAGCAACAACCCCCCCCCCCCGCCCCGGCAAAAAAACCTTTAAAGATACACAAGATCTGAAGGAGTTCATCACCAGAAGACTTGCACTACAAGAAATTTAAGTCCTTGGAGCAGAAAAATTATGCCTGGGGGAAATACTTATCTACACAAAGTAATGAAGAATACTGTGTTAAACAGCACCTATTTTACACCAATAAATACATGAAAGGCTTTTCTTATTTAAATCTCTTTAAAAGATAAATTTTTAGGGGCTTGCCTAGCATGCTTTGCCTCACATGCTTGAGGACCTGGGTTCTGATCTTTAGCACTGTATACACACACGAAAAGATAATTTACTGTTTAAACAAAAAGGTTTATAATATATGTAAAATGAAAGCATATGAACTACAAAAGCATGGACTTGGGAAGTATACCATTATAAGGATCTTATACCATAGGTGGAGTGGTATAATATTACTACGTTGTTAAAAATGTGTATCACAGGCTGGGGATTTAGCTCAGTGGTTCCGCCGCCTACACTGCAAGTACAAGGGCCCGAGTTTGATCCCCGGTACCAAAAAAAAAAATGTGTATCACAAATTCCAAAGAATTACTAAAGTAATAGTTATACCTACCTTGCCACAATGAGATAAATGGAATAAAAAATACTGAATTAATCCAAAAGAATTCAGAAAAACAGGAAATGGGCTAAAAAACAGCAAGATGACATACTAAAACCTAACCATACCAGTAATCACATCCAATGTAAATAGTCTATATATCCCCAGTTAAAAGCAAAGACTGTTAGATCAGGTGCAGTGGTGTGTACCTGTACTTCCAGCTAGATACCTGGGAGGCTAAGGCAGGAAGCTCACTTGAGCTCTAAGTGTTTGAGACCAACCTGGGAAACACAATGAGATCTCCTATAAACAAACAGTATTAGATTGAATTTCTAAAAATTCAACTAAATGCTGCCTACAGGAAGCATATACATTATGGTTTAGATCTAAACTGTCCTCCAGGCACATTTAGGGTGGTATGGCTGTAGATACCACTCAAGTAATCTCTAAGTTTCAGGCTTTCCCTACATTTCTTCTAAGCTCTCATCAGAATCAATCTTAATGCTGATTTCAGTGATTAAGGCTTTTTCTAGGTTGCTCCTCAAAATTCTTCCAGACTATTACTTATTGGAGACTGATCAGACCCCCAATCACCTGACCAAGGGTATGGTGGCAGGATTAAAAAGACAAGATCTTAATGCATAAATGGGAGGCCCAGGACAGTCAAAGCTCTTATCAGGCTAAGACACCGTCTCCTGGAGCTTGCCACTATTTATTGAAAATGCAGCTTCTAGAAGGGGTAAAGGGGCAGTACAGGGAACGGTGGAGTGGAGAGTACTGATGTGAGCAGGTTCCTAGCAACAAGGGAATGAAACATTTTTAGCAAGAACAACTCATAGATTAATGGGAAATTTGTTTCTTCCCACAGATTACTTTTTGCCTCTATGGGAGTTTTCTGTACTGAGTCATGCTGCCCTTAGCTACACCATTGTTTTGCCATCCAAGACGTCACAGCGACACAATCATTGAGGCCTCTGCTGTAAACAGTGGTGTGGGGAAATTTTTTCTTTCCCACACACCAACTGCTGGCTCTTCAGGCCAGCCACTGTGGGCCAACAGGCAGACTCAGACTTTCAATATGAAAAGCCAATTATAAATTTGCAGCTCGTTCAAGGTGGTCTCTATCAGTTACCCAGTTCAAAGCCATTTCCACATCTTTAAGTGTCACTCTCAGAACTAATTTTATCTTAGTCTGTGCTGTGTTACTATAACAGGGTACCGGAGCCTAGGTAATTCATAAAAAAGATTTCTTACAGTTCTGGAGCCTGGAAAATCCAAGAAAAAGAAGCTGGCATCTGGGGAGGGCTGCCTTCTGTGTCATCCCATGTCAGAAGGCTGAAGAGGAAAAGAGCTCAAAAAAGCAAGAAGATTGTACTCATTTTATAACAAATCATGGAAACAAACCTCATTATGAAACAATGGTATGACCCAGGGCCGGGGATTTAGCTCAGTGGCACTGTGCCTGCCTTGTGAGTGGAAGGTACTGAGTCCGATCCCCAGTCCCCAAAACCAAAACAAAACAATGGTACAACCCATTCATAAGGGCAGAACTCCCGTTATCTACTCACCTCTTTAAAAGTCCTAGCTCTCAACAGTTAGTTTGGGGGCTGTTTCCAACACATGAATTTGGGGTTGCATACTGAAACTATAGCAAACATACTGTATTTTGGTTGGGTGCATATGGGTTTAGAAATGAGCTAACTCAATTTTACATGTATTGATACTCTCCTTAAATTTTGCTGGTAAGGCAGGCGGTGGAACCACTGAGCTAAATCCCTGGCAGACTGTCTTTTAATTAGAGAATTTAGTCCATTTATATTGATTCTGATTTTGAGATACAGTAAGTCCCCAACTTAGGAACATTCAAGCTTTGAACTTTCATAGATACGAATGGACTTTGGATTACAAACATTCAGATACAAACAAATTGTGGAAGTAGCTCACATGTCTGCTCTACACTGTCACAGTTGTGCTGCTGTGCTCAATCAGAACCCAGGATGTCTAGAAGCAAGAGGAAAAGCAGTGATGTGGACTGCTAAGCAAAAGCAATATACATTGTATCTTTGGGTCAAAGGTTTGTTAAGAGTTACATTTTATGAACTCCCAGAATGGAACTCATTCATGAGTAGGGAACTTACTGTATTTATACTTATTTCTAATATTCTCTTTGAAAACTTTTTTTTCCCTTGTATTTTCCACTTCCACCCTCACCATCAACACTGACTCCAAAATCTACTCTTAAAACATGGAATTTATACATTTGAATAGTATTATCATTACTACTTTTACTAACCTTTCAGAGATCTATTCCTATTTCTAGATCAAAAGTAGAGATTTTATTGACTGATTGAGACAGGTTCTCACTATGTAGCCCAGGCTGGCCTCGAACTTGCTTCGATCCTCCTGCTGCAGCCTGTCAAGTGCTGGGATTATAGGTGCGTCACTACGCTTGGCTCAAAACTAAAGTTATTATTTAGTTTTAAAATTTTTTTACCCAATGTGTTATATACATGTACCAATTCCCCACAATGAATGTATTCATTATGCCCTGCTAACATGTACTAATAAAAATTTAAAAATATTCTCCTTCCTAGTTCCATAAATCTACAGTGATAGCACATAATCCATACTTGTACTTAAAATCATGAATAAATTAATACAAATCACCTAATGAAATGTTTAGAAACAAAAATGGCCTTTTAATGGTCTAACAATTATCATCTAATATTTGGAATATTTTCCCCTCGGAAAATGAACTTGGATGGCAAGTATGAGGTCAGCCCAGGCAACTTAGTGAGACTCTTTCAAAAAATAAAAAAAGGGGACCAGGGATTTTGGTCAGTGGTTCCACCGCCCGCCTCTCAAGCACAAGGTCCCAAGTTCAATCCCCGGTACCAAAATAAATAAATAAAAAAGTGTTAGGGTGTATCTTAGTGATATAGTGCCTCTGAATTCAATTGTGAGGACCAGGAAAAAATTACATTTTTTGCAGGGCGGTGCTTAGGCTTGAACCCAGGGCCTCACTCATGTGCTAGGCAAGTACTCTACTAATCAGCTAAATCCCCAACCCAAGAGCATTACATTTAAATCATCTTTCCACAACTATTTGTTATATGAGATTTTTTTGTTTTGTTTTGTTTTTTGAGACAAAATCTTGCAACGTAGTATAGGCTGGTCTTTGAACTCATATGTAGCCCAGGCTGGCCCCAAACTCACAGTGACTCTCCTACCTCATCCTCCAGAGTGCTGGGATTACAGGTGTGTTCTACCATGCCCAAATGTTTTAAGAAATTTTATACCAAGTTTAAAAATAAGGAAGCTTTCATTTTATGCAGACCACAGTTAAATCCATGTTTTTGTTTAAAATGAAAAGTTTATTTGCTCAGTACACCAAATAGGAGCAACCACTGTCATGACAAATATACAGAAATGTAGAGATCAACATAAAACAGTAATGTAAATGAAGGGCAATCTGTTTAATGTTATGACAACATACTCCCAGGAAGAATCTTTTCTTCAGTTAATTATACATTTCAATAAAATAAAGGGTAATGGATTAAGTGGAAGTCAGCTTGTGAATTTTTGTTAAAAATAAAACTCCAAATGTATTAATCCATGCTAGTTAAACACTATAACTAAAATTTCCAAATAAGCACAAAAGGAGGTAAAGCAGTTAAGTTACCTTTTTTTTCTGGAACAGTCCAGAGGAAAATAGTTACTACAAATACAGCAGGCAAACCGTTGGACTGACCGATCTAGGACATAGCGTACTAAATTTCAGTCTCAAATTGTGCTAAATGCTCATCATTAGTATGGCACATTTTGGTCCATGATGTGGTTCAATGCCAAGATAGATCACAATTTGTTACCAAAAGAGATTACTGTTGCCTTTTAAAAATTTTAAATACACACATATATATATATATATATATATATATATATATATATATATATATATATATATATATATATATATATATAAAAGCCAAGTATACTTTCACATACAAAGGCAGTTTTTCCCAGGAAGAATTTACAGGAAGTAGTCTGGAGTGCGCCGAGTTACATGAGGCTCTCCACGACGAGGTGCTGGGTCAAACTGAAGACTACAAACAGCAAAGAAAGGAACTCATTAAAATATTTTACTTCAGAAGCAAACAAATCAATAAAAAATAAGACACTGAATAGAAACAGTAGTCCTTGGGCCGGGGATTTAGCTCAGTGGTTCCACCGCCTGCCTCGCGTAAGTGCAAGGTCCTGAGTTCAATCCCCAGTACCAAAAAAAGAAATAGTAGTCCTGGTTTCCCAATGCTGCTGCATTAACACAGGCTGGAATGACCCTAGGCAAGTTATTCTGGGTGGTCTTAATCAGTATCATCACTTTACAAAGCTATGGTAAAAATTTAAAGCAGGCAAGAAGTCTATTCCAGAGCCTAGCAAAGAAAGATTTGTAATGCTTCTCTCATTCCTGATTTTAGGGAGACAACATTTTTTTTATCATTAAGTATGATGCTAAATGGGGGTGTGTGATTTCACAGATTGCTTTATCAGTTGAAGAAGTTTCCTTCTATGAATAGCTTGTTGAGTATTTTTATTCTGAAAGGATATTGGGTTTCGACAAATGCATTTTCTGTATCTACTAAGATGACTGGCTTTTGTCCTTTACTTTTTTTTTTTTTTTTGAGACCATCTCACTATGTAGTTTAGGCAGGCCTTGCACTATGTAACCCAGGCTGGCCTCAAACTCTTGGCAATCCTTCTGCCTCAGCCTCCCCAGTACTGGGATTTCAGGCATGTACCATTATGCCCGGCGGCCCTTTAATTTTAACATGGTTTATTACACTGAACCAACTTTGCATTCCTAGGATGAATCCTACCTGAATTTTCCTTTTCTAATCAGTCCTGGAGGTCATAACCTTAAGCATGCACACAGTCTTCAATATGTCAGGGTGGGTGTGATTTTTAAGCCTGACTAAAGGGTGTTCCTGGGTCAGAGCAACTTACTATTCAGCTGGTGTTTGAAGTTTGTGTTGGGTTACACACATTGTTAACAAACCAATTTATTAGTTTCCTACAGCTATCATCACAACTGGGTGGCTTAAATAACATGGATTCATTCTCTCAGAGTTATGGATGCTAAAAGTCTGAAAGGTGTTGGCTGGGTCTTGTTCCCTTTGAAGGGTCTAAGGAAAAAGTCTTCCTGATTCTTGATTTATAGATACATCACTCCAATCTATGTTTGTTTTTTTGGTACCAGGGATCGAACTTGGGTCCTTGTACTTGTGAGGCAAGCGGCGGAACCACGGAGCTAAATCCCTGGCCCCTATTTTTTTTTTTTAAAGAGAAATTTCACATATGTGTGCAGCTGTGTTATTTTTAAATTGTTACTAGTACATGTTTGTAGTACATAATTATACTGATCATGGGGAGTTGGTACATGTACATAACATATCTTAACTCTTTTTACTTCCCTATGCCATCTTTCCCCTGTTTGCCTATCTTCATATGGCTTCTCTCCTCTGAATCTGTGTTGCTTTTCTTCTAGTGAGGATATTAGTCATATTGGATTGAAGGTCCACTGTAACCCAGTGCAACCTCATCTTAATTAAATCTGCAAAAAAGTATTATCAAATAACATCACACTAAGGTTTTGAGTAAATATGAATTTTTTGAGAGGCCACTATTCAACTCAGTACAATCTATGTATGGCTTGGGAATGTTATCAGGAATATTCCATACCTTACTCAGTGGGTATAGCTAGTACATGCACATAGCCTTCTTGCCACCCTGAATTTACTGTGATCCCAGCAGAGCTTTTCTTGGCTGTCTCTTTCCCTCATTTTATCTGTTAACTCTTGTTGCTCTACTCTTTTGCTTGTCACCAGGAGTATCACAGGAACCGTGACACTCATAACTGGTCTTCACCACGACAGCCACCGTTTTCAAGAAAGTACTCAGGCTGAGAATTTTCTACCCTCTATTCTAAATAAGGCAGAGCTGAGGAACTTTTCTGTTTTGCCTCTCTACTCTTTGAGCAGAACTTCTGTGCTACTGCTGGGGACAGGTACAGACTGCTTCTGACATCTCCTGATCCACAGAATGTGCTGTGGCAAGAGCAACTATGAACCCAGTCTTCTCAACTTGTCACAAACATCTGGAATAGAGCACCCTAGAGGTTGGGTTGAGGAAGAGAGCCTTGGCCACTTAACCATCTACCAGAAGTACAATGTCTATAACCCAAGACCAGGGCAGCTGGGACGAGTTTAATCTGGGATAAAAATCACAGCCCCAGACTGGGAGCTATAGAAACCCCACGGTTAAGAAGCACGGAGCCATGGGTGAGCAGCTGGAACAGTTTCTGTAAAGTGGCTAGGGAGTAGGGAGAGGAAGTAAGTCATGGATCGGATGCCACAGGCTCCAACTGTTACTGTTGAGATTTGGTAGATTTTTCTTGAATAACTGTTGTAAGCATTTGGGACAATTCCCAAAAACTTTTTAAAAAATTGTTTTTCTCCAGTTAAATGGTTATTTTTGTTGTGGACATAGTCTGTCACATTTCTCCTTTCATAATCCAGAAGCAGAAATCTACCTCATTTTAGCAGCTACATTAAAAATTTTTCTTCTAAAACTGAAGAGAGCAGACCTGGAGGGTGCCCCCCAACCCCACGTGAAAGAGCAACCTGGAGCAGCCCGCCCCCCGGCCAGCAGACTAGGGGAATGGTGGGAGCAACCAGATCCTACAACTGTTAACATTAAGCCAACAGCCCACTTGAACACTCACTTTGCAGTCTACATCCAGCAGAGAACAGAGGGCTGATTGGGTCCCTACCTACCAACAGGAGCAAGGACTTGCCTTGGCTTGAACAGTAGCCACAGTCTTCTGGCACAAACAGAAGGGCCTCTAGCGCAAGGAGGGACCCACCCTTAAAGATGCACAGGCCCTAAAGCTAGGCACAAAAAATCCTGTCTGGCTGTGTCCCAAGGCTGCAGATCATGGAAAGAAACCACTCATTCAGTAACCCAGAATTTTTTCTTTGACTCAATCTTTTTATTGATTTTTCTGTTTTGTATTATTTTTATCTTTCCTTCATTGGGTTTTTTCAGAGCTAGGGATTTTTTTCCCACTTTATTTTTTCTTCTTTTACTTTCTTTTTTCCCCCTTTTCTCTCTTTCCTTCCCAGCTTTTCCTTCATCTCCTATTTTTGCTGCTTATCATTTTTTTCTAGCAATTGTTCTCTATAACTATTAATTTCCTTTCACTCCTTAATAGATCTCCTATCTTACTTTTCTCTCTTCCTCATATCCCATTAGTTAATTTTTCAAATTTTGCTTTTTTCCCCATTCTTCAGATCCCCCACTCCCTCTACCTTTTACTAGCACAACTACTAAACGTTATGAATTTCTAGATAGCTAACTTTATGCTATTGCGGTTCAATACTGTGCTACTGTTAATAGAGGTAAAGTTGTTCCATTTGCTAGATATTTACTGTAGGTCAATATTTGGCTTGTCTTAGTGTTCACAATATAATTACAGATCTCTTTCTATGGACAAGGGTAGTATTTTGTTGGTCCTTAGGGTTTATAAATATTCAGCTTGTATTTCATGCTATAATTGATGCTGATTTTATTACAATAGCAAAAGTGTCACAGCTGTTGCTATTAACTGATTTTCTTGAGATGCCAATATCTAGATTGGCCACAGGCCATTAGCAATACTGTGGCCCATTCTGGGAGAACTGGCTATTGGGGCAAACATGTTGCCACATTCAGCATGTTATTTCAAGTGAAGATAGGAGAGAGAAAAGATCCAAATCAATGTAACTAGAAATGAAAAAGGCGAAATCACAACAGATGCAGCCAAAGGAAAAAAAATTATTAACATCTACTTTTCAAACCTGTATGCCAATAAATTGGAGAATTCAGAAGAAATGGATAGATTCCTAGATACATATGAATCACTCAAACTGAACAAAGAGGATTAAAAAACCCTGAATAAATCAATAACAGGTAATGAAATCAAAGCAGTAATAAATAATCTACCAACTAATAAAACCCCAGGTCTGGACAGGTTCACTGCTGAATTCTATAAAAACTTAAGTTCTAACATCAATCCTCCTCAGGCTTTTTAATGAAACTAAAAGGGAAGGAATACTCTCCAAGTCAATTCCTGGAAGCTATCATCACTCTGATTCCAAAACCAGACAAGGATCCAACCAAAAAAAAGTCTATGAATGAATATAGATGCAGAAGTCTTCGTAAGATAGTGGCAAATAGAACGCACGAATCATCAGAAAGATGATATGTCATGACCAAGGAAGCTTCATCCTATGGATGCAAGGATGGTCCAACACATGAAAATCAATAAATGTAATACATCATATAAATAGAAGCAAGGACAAAAATCACATGATCATTTCGTAAAAATGCAGAAAAGGCCTTTGACAATATCCAACATCTTTTCATGACAAAAACATTGAAGAGAAAAAGTAGAGAAGGACCTTATCCCAATCTGATAAAAGCCATTTATGACAAGCCTCCTACCAAAATCATATTAAATGAGGAAAAACTAAACACTTTCCCTCTAAAATCAGGAAAAAGACAAAGATGTCCTCTATCACCACTGTTCAACATAGTACTAGAAATATCAGCAAAAGCAGTTAGGCAAGAAAAATAAAAGGGATATATATAGAAGATCCCCCCAAATCCAACAAAAGACTCTTAGAATTAATAACCAAATTCAGTACTGTAGCAGAATACAAAATCAACACACAAAAATCAATTACAGGCACGCCTGTAATCCCAGCACTCAGGAGGCTGAGGGAGAAAGATTGCCCTGAGTTTGAGGCCACTCTGGACCACATAGTAAGTTCAAGGCCAGCTTGAACTACACATCGAGACCATCTCAAAACAAACAAACAATACTTTCCCTGTACGCTAATACTGAATCCAATGAAAAAGAAATTAGGGGAAAAATACCACCACAATAGCACCAAGAAAAATTAAATACTTAGGAATTAACCTAAGGAAATGAAAGACCTCTACAATGAAAACGACAGTGCTCTGAAAAAGGAAAATAAAGAAGATATATAAAAAAATGGAAAGACATCCCCCATTCCTGGATAGGTAGAACCAGTATAGTAAAAACAGACATACTTCCAAAATTGATAAACAGATTTAATGAAATCACAATCAAAATACCAACAGCAGTCTCCACAGATCTAGAGAAAATAATCCTAAAATTCTCATGGAACCAGAAGCGACCCAGAATAGCAAAAGCAATCCTTGGTAACAAGAGCAAAGTGGGAGGTATCACAATCCCAGACCTAAAGCTATATTATAAAGCTACAGTGATAAAAACAGCATAGTAATGACATAAAAACAGACATGAGAACTGATGGGACAGAACAGAGGATGCAGAAATGAACTCAAGCACATTCAATTATTTGATCTTTGACAAAGGGGTCAAAAACACACAAAGGGGCGGGGAATTTAGCTCAATGGCACTGTGCCTGCCTTGCAAGCACAAGGTCCTGAGTTCAATCCCGAGTACGGCAAAAAACCCCAAAAAACCAAAACAAAGAAACACACACTGGGGGAAGGATAGTCTCTTTAATAAATGGTGCTGGGAAATCTGGATGTCCATATACAGAAGACTGGACCTAGACCCATATCTAATACCATGTACTAACCTAAAATAAAAATGGATCAAAGAACTAAATGTTAAAACAGAAACTAACTTGCTAGAAGACAAGATAGGAAAATTCTTGGGCTGGGGATTTAGTTCAGCAGCGGAGTGCCTGCCTGGCAAGCTCCAGGTCCTGAGTTTGATCCCTGGTACCAAAAAAAAAAAAAAAAAAAAAAAAAAAGTAAATTCTTGAAGTCTTAGGCATAGGCAAGGACTTTCTAAAAAGAACCTCAGCAGTACAGGAAATAGTTTGAGAATCAGCAAATGAGCAAATTAAACAGCTTCTGCATATAAATCAACAACCAACAGGGTGAAAAGACAATTTACAGAATGGGAAAAATTTTTTGCCAGTGATTCTTCAGACAGAGGACTCAAATCTAGAATACAGAAAGAATTAAAAAAAAAAAAGAGATCCCCCAAATAAAGACCCAATAAAAAAATGGGCAAGCAATATGAATAGATACTTCTCAGAAGTACAAATAAATATATGAAAAAATGCTCAACTTTGCTGGCCATTAGAGAAATGAAAGTTAAAACAACACTGAGATTCCATCTTACTCCAGAAAGAATGGCTACCATCAAGAAATCAAATAATAACAAATGCTGGAGAGGCTGTGAAGGAAAAAAAGAATACTTCTACACTGTTGGTGGGAGTGTAAACTAGTACAACCATTATGGAAATCAGTATGGAGATTCCTCAAAAAACTAAAACTAGAGGTTCCATTTGACCCAGTTATCCCCCTACTAGGTATCTTCCTGAAAGAGTTAAAGACATTATATTACAGAGAGACATGTATACATGTTTATGGCAGCACATTTCATAATAGCTAAATATTAGAAGCAGCCTGTAAGACCATCAACAGATGAATGGATAATGAAAATGCGGTATTTGCACCCCATGGAATATTACTCTGTCATAAAAAAGATAGGCTGGAGTTATCTGTAGGAAAATGTGTGTACCTTGAGACCTTAATATGAAGTGAAATAAATCAGACAAACTTAATATCATTGTTTCTCTTATATGAGAAATCCAGAGTGAAAATAAAGAGTAAAATAAAAGATACATAACAGGAAGTAGGAAGGTAGATTGTTCCCAGAAGGGAAGGAGATCAGGAAATACAGAGAGGGGAAAGGGAAGGAAGGAACGAAGGGAAAAGGGATGAAAATAATGAATTGTGATGTGTTATGTAAATGTACCAATTCCACACAAAGAATGTAAACATTATGTACTGTAAATATGTACAAAACAGGGGAGGTAAAGAAATGTGTGGAGGGTGGATGGATGGAAGGGAAAAGGGATGAAAAAAGGAATTAAGATGTGTTATGCACATGTACCAACATCCCATGAGGAATCTAAACATTATGCACTACACATATGTACTAATAAACTAAAAATTTTAAAAATGTATTGGAAGTTGATTACATACAATTATCACTTAGAGTTACTTACAAAGAATATTTTAAGGTGTCATCCAATTCCATAATAGCAGCCTGGTTTCCACAACGATAACAGTAATTGGGTGCACTGAATATGGTAACCACATTCCGATCATGACACCAATTGTATCCCTGCAGCATTAAAAAAAATGTTTCATTATAAAATGATGATCCTGACTATAAAAAACCCCACAAATATCCCTTGGAGATACACAGTCATCTATGTTACATTATATGGCCTCCATCTTGAATAGTTTATCTATCTGTACAGAACACTGTGTTAACTACTGGGAACAGGGTGCTGTTACACAGAGCTCCTAACTGTGCAATTGTGCTTAATTTTTGAGATTTTAGCTACACTGAAACTTCTTCCACAATGACGACAGGTTTCTCAACTTTCATAAATTGTGTCAATTTTTGCTTATATATTTTGAAACTATTATCAGTAAACACAAACTTAGCATACTTTCTTCCTAGAGAATTGGGCCAATTTTCTTCAATGATGACTGTTTTGCTCATAATGATACTTTTTCCTTAGAGTCTATTCTGATTCATATTGGCTATATTTTTGGTAACTATCTAACTTGTTATACAAGAAGGAGCTACTTTCAATTGCTTACCTCTAATTTGTGGTGTCATTATGTTCTACATATGTTCCAAATAATAGCTGAACTCTGATCTATCCACCTTGGGAGTCTTTTATGCGTGAAAAAATTTAGTCCATTTACATTTCTTATGACTACTGTTTATTTTTATCATATAAATTTGTGTTCTTTATTATATTCCTCTATTATACCCCTCTCCTTGCTTCTACTGAGCTGGTGAAGGTTTTTCTTTTTAACATCTTACTTCCTACTGGTTTGGAGGGATTTTGCTCTGTTTCCATTCCTTTAGTAGTTACAAAATAGTAACATTATAGGGGAGAAATCCTATGATCAGTTAACCTACCAGCAATGGGACATACAGATTTCATGACCCTTGATAAAATGCACTGAGTATACAACATCATTCTATGTTATGCCTGCCAAAACACATATTCTGAATCCTATTAAGGAAGCATCAGTTAAATCTAATGCTAATTAGATTAATTGAAAGATAGTTCTATAAAATAAATTGCTGATATTATTTGTTATGGTTTGGGTCTGGATGTCACCCCAAAGCCTCATTTGGTCAGAGGTAGCTGAATCTGGAATGTGTGATGTTGAGATTAAGGGCGTGTGATTACTAAACCACTACTGCCCTAATCCTGGTAGCCTGGATGGGACAAATGAGGTAGGAAGATGTGGGCGAAGCTCCCTCTTTCCCTGCTTTTTCTACCTTGTGCACCATATTGTTTCTCCTCTGTGATGACTGTCTGCCATCCTCCCTGTCTTGGAGCCAGCCAATTATGGCCTGAAATCTCTATGAACTGTAAGCCAAATAAAGCCCTTCCCCTCTAACTTTAGGTGTTGGGTATTTTGTCTCAGCAACAAAAGAAAAGTAACTAACACATTATTCCAAAATGTCAAGATAGCACAAAACAAAATATGAGGAGTTATTTCCATATTAAAGGAGACAGAATATAACCCAATCTAAGATTACATTGTGCACGTGGACAAAAACTGAATTTTGCTATAAAGAATATTAGTGATATAATTAGTAAAATTTGACTAAAGGGTTTAGATAGTAGTATTATACCAATGATGATTTCCTGATTGTGATAACTGTTCTCCGGCTTTATAAGAAAATACCCTTAACAAAATACACCTGGAAATTTGGAGATAAAGGAGGCATTTGTCTACAAATGACATTCAGAAGAAAGTTGGGGATTGGGAGTGATAAAGCAAATATAGCAAGATGTTTACAATCAAGACTGGGGTAGGATGGGCTGGGGGTTTAGCTCAGTGGTGCCACCACTTGCCTCAAAAGCGCAAGGTCCTAAGTTCGATCCCCAGTACCAAAAAAAAAAAAAGGCTGGAGGAGGAGAATTCTGGGGAATTATTTTTATAAATTTCTCTATTTAAAAATGAATTATAATAATTTTGCTTTGGGCAACCAATACTTTCCCTATTTGATATAAATTTTCCTCCTTTCATTTGGTAATGAGAAGCAGTATTTCCTATGTTCCAAGTCATGAAGACATACATATTATTTGAAATAAAGACCATTTGGCAGAAAAAATACATACCTCCATTACAAGCTGGTGGGCACGAGAAACCAGTGTGAGACCATTGGCATGGTTAAATGTTTCAGAAATATCTTGTCCAAATGTGTAGCCAGCACCACGTGGTGAAATACCCCATCCACCACGATCATCTGGATCTGACCATAAGAGATCACACATTGGGCCCTAATCAAGAAAATAAAGTATATGTCACAAATTAGTAGCAGTCATACTGAACTTATTTAGCTTCCTCACATGTGCTTATATTGCTTTTACTTTATAAAATGAAGTTTACCTCATGCGGAACTTCTTGTAAACGATCTAGGGCTCTTATATGATCCAGTGTATCTATGGATGGAGAGAGGCCACCATGGAGGCAAAATATCTGTATGAATTTAGAAAGAAAATATATCTGTTTTTCTTATTGCTAAAACTTAATGAAAGCTAAATAATGGTTACATATGTTCGTCCTAATAGCTGTTCTTTTCAAAGTAAAGTTTAGGTAGCCCATGCTGACCTTGAACTCATGGCTATCCTCCTGCCTCAGCCTCCTGAGTGCTAGGATTATAGGCATGTCCCTGGCTAAAACTGTTAACTTTACATACACTGTTTCCTCCCACCTTTTTACTTTAGGGTTTTACTAGATGGTTTATTGTTTGTTCTTCTGTATGTGGTGCTGGGGATTTAACCTAGGGTCTTATGAATTCTACATAAGTGCACTACTGAGCTACATCCCTAGCTCCCATCCCGGGTGTTTTTTACAGTATTTTCTCCTCCTCTCTGGTGAACAGGATCTCCAATCTTGTGTCCTGCTATTATATTTTCTGTTGATTACTGCTGATGTATAAAACTTTATTTCCCTTGCAGCAACCATTGCTACTGATTCTTATTGCAGGTTACAATAGTTTTTCAGTTTTCTCAGATTTTCTGAGTACATAATGTTATTTGAAAAAATACATCCTATAATTTTTGTCTCAATGTTTATGTCTTTTTATTCCTTTTACTGCTCAGTGCACTAGCTAGGATTTCTAAAACAAAACTGAATAATATAGGGAATTTTTTTTTTGAGACTGGGTCTTACTATGTAGCCCAGGGTGGCCCTGAACTCAAAGCAATCCTCCTGCCTCAGCCTCTGAAGTGCTGGGATTACAGGTGTGTGCCACCACGCTCAGCTAATAACACTTTTTTTTGTTGTTGTTTTGGTACCAGGGATGAACTCAGGACCTTGGGCTTTCAAAGCAGGCAGTGGAACCACTGAGCTAAATTCCCAGCCCATAATAACACAAGTTTTAATGAAACATTTTCCCCCTGATTTTGGTGAGGATTTCTAAAGTTTCACCAATAAATTTCTTCAACCCATTAATGCTATTACATATTTTTCTGAATAAATGAGTTTTAAATAATCAATATAGTATTTTTTTTCAAATGATCTTGGTCAGACTTTATCTTTCTGTACTTGCCACGTGTCATGATACTGGCATTATACTAGGCACACAGCTGGTTTGTTTTTTGCAGGTCTGGGGATGGAGCAAAGTGTGAGCTGTAAAGCTATCTCTTCTCATGTTTCTTAAAGGTTTGGTAAAATTTTATTTATTTGTTTTGAGACAGGGTCTTGCTGTGTAGTTCAGTCTGGTCCTGAACTCACTATGTAGCCCAGACTAGCCTTGAACTCACACAATCCTCCTGCCTCTGCCTCCCGAGTGCTGGGACTACAGGCATGCGCCACCACACCCAGCTAGGTTTGGTGAAATTAGCCTTCTAAATATTAGACCTGGTTACCTGGGTACCAATGTACCAAACACTGTATCTGTTAGGTAAGGTTGTCATGTTCAAATATTCTACAGACCTATTTGTTCTGTTTATTTTGGAGGTATATAAAGTCTTCTAGCAATAACATTTTATAAACAGTAACATGTCAATAATGGTGTATATTTGTTCTTTTGTTTCTTATAAGTACTGCAACAGCAAAGAGCAATGGTCCATGGAGGGTAAGAGTGTGAAGGGCACTGGCAGATGGAGAAAAATATATAAAGCTCTAGTAATGTACTTTTAAAAAAAGTTCTGGGGATTAAAATCTAAGGCCTTAAGCTATACTCCTGGTCCAAATGCACTTACTTTAAAAATGAGATACATCATCAATACTGATGGGATACCCATGTAAAATAATTTTGTCTGTTAATTTGAATTCTAATTAAGACTATATTGCTTTTAAAAATATAAATCCTAAATGAAAATTTACCACCTTATAAATTCATGTTTTCTTTCATTTCAGCAAGCACAGGCAAAGTATTATCCTTTTAAATTAATTATTGTAATGTTCAAAATCATGTCTGGGAAAGTATAGGTCAGAATTATACACAGAAGGTCACAACCAAATTACATTCCCACAGAAGGCTGAAAGAATATCTGTTACAGCTTTGACAACTAGGGATATTTAAGAACTATAGAGTTTTATATTTAAATTTAAATCAGTTCATTCTGTGAAACCTCTAGAAAGTACAACAGGAAGGTTGCATTTTATTTTTCTACTTTTCAATACTATGGTATGTCTGCAATACTTATTTTGGGTGGGAAAAAAGCATTTACTTCTTAGCAAAGGTTTAATATATAACATACTAATTTTCAATTACTATGAAAACAGGAATAGTTATTCATGGTAACCAGCAGACACTGTACAATGTATGTGCAGAGACCCTTTTAAATAACATCTGGCTTTATAAATACTATAGATCATGGTCTTAAGCATTTACTTATAACATTTATCTATAATAAAAAAGCATATTAGCATATTCTTTGCTCAAAAGACTAACACATATATCTGAGAACAGGGAAATTTGTGTTCTAAGTGTGCACAACACTATCCAAATTCCTTGGTTGGAAATTTGAAAAGAGGAAAAAAAGGTCAAGGAGACACACATAACCAGGTCACCTAAATCTAGAACATACACTGCTAACAGTAAGTGCTTTCGGACATTTACTCCTACTGCCACACACATAGATACAACCACACACATACACACCTGTCCATCCACCAAAGCTGTAAGCGGAAGATAATCAAAAAGATCTGTAAAATATTTCCAAACATTGGCATTTCCATATTTTCGTAGGCATTCATCATAAAAGCCATATACTTGGGTAATCTGTCGGCTTTCATGATTTCCTCTCAATATGGTAATGCGTTCTGGATAACGCACCTGGAAGAAAGGAAGAGAAATCCACAATACACTCGTATTTTCCCTGTAACATGTTAAGAACATTAACTTCTGATCCTCCTTTAAATGGCCCCTTGTGCTCTAATAAATTAAACGTTATTTTTTGTCTTTTAGAGTAAAAAACTTTCTCATTCATAACAAGGGCCTATTGATTAACCTTTGAAATGTTTTTTATGGTCAACCTTCTTCAGTATATTATCTTCCTTGTCAGAACCTATAGTTGATACCTCTATTACTATAATAAACTTGCAGCTAATTCTTTAAATCTTTCAAGAACATTCTGACTTCTTACAGCTGAATGGATACTGAAAAGCAGATGTCAGAACCTAAGATGAGTTCCTTTATAGACTAACTTCTTCCCTTTTCAACTCCTATTTCCCAAGGGAAGATTGGGCTTTAGCCCCAGCCAAATTTGAGCAAAATTTCAAATGTATTAATCGTTTTCCTTTCTCTGAGATAACAGAAAACTATACAATGTAGCATACCATAGGCTGATCAACCCTAATTCAAAATTTCAAAATCTGAAAATTATTCCCCCAGTGGTACTAGAGATTGAACCCAGGGTCGTGTTAATGCTAGCCAAGCATTGTACCATATAGCTAATCCTCTGCTCTGAAACTTTTTAAAGTGGTGACATGATGCCAAAAGTAGAAAATTCTACACTATGAAACTACGTTAAAATTATCAAACTATGAAAATTATCAAAAATATTGTATAAAATTACCTGCAGACTACCTGTGTACGTGTATATGAAACTAACGAATTCTGTGTTTTTTAAAAATTTTATTTTATTGGTACATTTTAGGTATACAATATAATGACACTCATGATTGGAAATCTGCACCTTTACATAATCTCTCTTGGTTCTTATTTTTCCCCCTTCCCCTGCCGCCCTCCCTTCAACCCCTCCATCCCTTCTTATTTACAAAGACTTTGTTTCCATTTTTCCATTTTCTCATATTAATTCCATTCCCTTCTTTCCTTTCCCCTACCCCTCCCACTTCCCCTCCCCTTTGCCTCTTTTATTCCTATTTCTTATAACTTTTAGTCCTTATTTACACTTTGTTTCTCACATTAGAGAAACTATTTGGTATTTACACGTGTGTCCTATTTATTTCACTTAAAAGTATCACCTCAATGTGCATCCATTTAGCTATAAATGTCTCTAATTTTTCATTTTTTATGGCTGAGTAGTACTCTATTTTATTAAAAAACCACATTTTCTTTATCCAGTCTCCAGTTGATGGGCATTTGGGCTGCTTCCAAGTTTTAGCTATTACAAACTGTGCTGCTATGAACATGGGTGCGCATATATCACTGTGGTATGATTCTTTTAATTCTTTGGGGAAGATACCCAGCAGGGGAATAGCTGGGTCAAATGGGACTTCCAGTCCTAGTTCTTTGAGGTATCTCCACACTGATTTCCACAGTGGTTGCACCAGTCTACACTCCCACCAGCAATGGAGCAGGGTTCCTCTGAATTCTGTGTTTTGACTTGGGTCCCCTCTCCAGGATAGGTCAATACAGTATATGCAAATATCCTAAAGTTCAAAATCTCAAAAACTTGTGGTCCAAAGCATTTCAGATAAGGGATACTTGAGGCTGGGTGTGGTGGCACATGCCTGTAATCCTAGCACTCGGGAGGCTAAAGCAGGAAGACCAGCACAAGCTCGAGGCCAGCCTGGACTACACAGTGAGTTCAAGGCCAGCCTGAATTACATAGCAAGATCCTGTCTCAAAAACAAAAACAAAACAGAGAGAGAGAGAGAGAGAGAGAGAGAGAGAGACTGACTCAACCTGTATTTAGTTAGGAATGTGTCTTTTTTTGGTCTGTTTTTTGAGGCAAGGTCTCACTATGTAACCCAGCCTGGCCTCAAACTCATGACAATCTTCCTGCCTCAGCCTCCCAAGTGCTAGGACTATAGGCCTGTGCCACCACAACCGGCTCTAGGAATGTGTCTTCTGAGAAGAAAAAATCCAAAAGTTTCTATGCTAAACACCCATTGTATGTCTGACATTAAACTATACCTAGCTTTAGTGTTACAAAGATAATGCTGGGTCCACACAAGAATAATATATGGTCTCTGCTGTTTAGGGACTTATCCCATTAAGAAGAAATGTGACATAAACAATATAAGGTAGGGTCAGGGATTTAGCTCCGGGGTTCCAGTGCCTGCCTTGCAAGCACAAGGTCCCGAGTTTGATCCCCAGTACCAAAAACAAACAAACAAACAAACAAACAATATAAGGTAGTAAGTCACTATGTAACATACATAAGGGATATGTGAGAAGCTTCAACATAATAATAATCTTTTTTGATTTTTTTTTTTGGTACCAGGGATTGAACTAGGGTCCTTGAGCTTGTGAAGTAGGTGGTGGAACCACTGAGCTGAATCCCTGGCTCAGTAATAATTTTTTTTGATACGGAGGATTGAACCCTTAACTTTTGGATTGAACTACATCTGTAGCCCTTTTTATTTTTTATGGAACCGGGGATCCAGTCAGGACCTTGTGCTTGGGAGGCAGGCAGCGGCACCACTGAGCTAAATCCCTGGCCCCCTTTTTAGTTTTTATTTTGAGACAAAGTTTGGCTAAATTGCTAAGCTGCCCACTCTGAGCTCCAACTTGTGATTCTCTTGCCTCAGTCTCCCAGAGTGCTGGAATTACAGGTGTGTCTCATCTTGCTCAGCTTTATTACAATAATTTTAGTAAAAGGAGTAAGGCTAAAATATGAAGTCTTCATGGAAGAAAAGAGACAGCTAAGTCTGAGCAGAAGGGCTAAGAAAGTAATGGGAATAATTTTGTAGGGAAATTGGATAAAGAAGTAAATGGAGTTAGCTAAGAACACTGAATAAAATTGTTTGATCTAAGGCAAAGAGTTTATGCTACCAACTACTGCTAGGTAAATTCAGACTAGACTATAGACAGAGGACAGTAAGCAGTTTGAATGTGATTCTATAGGCAACATGTAATCACCAAGGAAGGAACAGGGAAGTAAAGTGCTAGTAAGTGTTAACTAAGACTTCATCTGGCAGCATAGTCAAGGTGATTTAAAAGGATCAAATCTCGGAGCCAGAAATACAAGTTACCAAAAGTTATTGCAATATGGTGTGAAGTGATAAATTGTGTGGGGCAATAAAAACAGAAAGGCAGGAGTAACAGACTTTTCAAGGCAAGGATTTAAAAGACTTGTTTACTGACTCAATATGAAGAATAAGTCAAATATTCCAACACTTTAGTTACAGACAACCTGAGAGAATAATACATTTATCAGAAGTAGGTAGAAGCTTAAGGCATAATTTTCTTGTGTCTCTCTCTCTCTTTTTTTTTTTTTGGTACCAGGGATCGAACTCAGGTCCTTGCACTTGTGAGGCAGGTGGCGGAACCACTGAGCTAAATCCCTAGCCCTCTTCTGTCTCTTTTTAAAACCAGCTAGTATTTAAGGAGCTATGATCTGAACGGACCATAAACTCAAAACAGACAATGTGCAATACCGTCATTCTTGACTTCTGTCTAGTTCAAAATCTGAAAAAAAAGGAAAGATGAATTTCATCAATCATACCTTTAATGCTACAAGAAGAGTCACAGTCTCCACAGAATAATAACCTCTGTCTACATAGTCACCCATGAATAGATAGTTTGTATCTGGTGATTTTCCACCAATTCTGAAGAGTTCCATAAGGTCATGGAATTGGCCATGTACATCTCCGCAGACGGTAACAGGACAACGAACCTCTTGCACATTTGATTCTTTTGTTAAAATTTCCTTTGCCTATTAGAAACACAAAACAATTAAAACATTTTATTACAGATTTACAAGTATCATATTTCCCACTAAAACAAAATCTGGGGGAAAGCACTTGAAAGTATGCTTTATAAAAGCATAAAATAAAAACCACACAATTAGACATCACTTTACTAGTATGGCTATAATAAAAAAGGCTGATAAAAACAAGTGCTTGTAAAGACACAGAGAAACTGAAATCCTTACATGCTGTTGGGAATACATAAGGCTGCAGCCGCTACTGAAAACAGCTTGGCAGCTTTTGAAAAAGTTAAAACAAAATCACCATACTAATTCCACTCTCAGGTATATACTTAAAAGAGACAGAAATTTGTTTACACATGTTCACAACAACATTATTCATAACAGTCAAAAAGTGGGAACTACTTATATATCTATCAACACCTAAACGGATAATAAAAATACTCATACAATGGAATATTACCCAGCAATAAAGAAATGAAGTACTTGTATATACTATAATTTTGAAAACATTATGTATGCTATGTGAGAGAAGGCAGTTACTTATGAAATTCCATTTACAAGCAATGTCCAGAATAAGCAAATCACAGAGGTAGAAAGTAGATTAGTAATGGTCGCCTAGAGCTTAGGCGGTAGAGGAGGACTGCAGGGACTGGGGAATAACAGCTAAGAAATTCAAGATTTCTTTCAAGGATAATGAAAACATGTTAATACTGTGATGAACACACAAACAGGTAAATGTACTAAAAGCTACTCGTTCTAAATGAGTAAATTGCACAGTACAGGAATTTTATCTCAACAAAGCTATTTTTTTTTTTTTGGTCCGGTACAGGGATCGAACTCAGGACCTTATGCTTGCTAGGCAGGCACAGCACCACTGGGCTACATCCCCAGCCCTCAACAAAGCTGTTTTAAAAAGAATAATCTTTCTTACAAGTTTCAAAAGTCAATGAAATATAGTTTACAATCATCCAAGTTCTTGTATACACAAACATGTTCTTATACCCATTTTAAGCCAACCTTCAAACTTAATCTTTTTCTCATGATGCTGGGTGCAGGGGTTCATATGTGCTAGGCACACACTGTACCACTGAGCTACACACCTGCCCCTAACTGTCAAACTTTCTATTCCAACTATCTTTTATTTTTTAGAAGTAGGTAAGAATATACCTTTAGGAGGCCCTGACATACAGAATTTATGGATAAATGCTGTACTAATACAAGCTAAATGTACTGACTAAATACAAAGTCATTAACAGCTAACATGTCTAGTATTGTAACCTTGCCTATCAGGAAAAAAAAAAAGCCCAGAATCAGGAAAAAAAATTAAAAAGGCCTCTGAGGTAACAAAACAGATACAATGAAAGTGTATGTACCTCCTCCCTATCAACCTGCCAGAGGGTCTCTGAAGCCCTATTTGGGGCTTATTTACTTGTTATATACAAAACTCCAATAAAACACACTGTGTTTCTACATCTATGACAAATTAAAGATAACTGAAGAGCTAAGAATCAGGAACAGACAGACATGCGAATGGAGATGAAGAAACTACCAGATGATATGACAACAAAGGTGACACAGTAATAAAAGTCAAACAACATTCAGTATGAAGCTTAAAGGAGAACCTGATACAGGTCAAGCTAAGACTGGAAGGAGAATGGAATTTTTGGGATAGATGATTCTCTGCTCCTTCAATGATTTGATATCTAAAGAGCATTTGAGTTTCCATATGCACAGTATCAACTCCTATTGCTCTGTATGTTAACAGAGTAACATTTTTGTTCTTTAGTTAAGTGTGAAACAGTATCTTAATTTGCACCTGAAACATTTTTATAAAAGCAGTTTTTCAAGTTTATTGGTCACTGCACTTCTTTCTTTTTTTGTGAAATGCCTACTCACAAATTTAGTCTTCTTACTGAGTTGTTTATATTTTCTCTATTTGTGATATTTTTTGGGAGGGGTTGTTTCCACATTTTAAAGTAGTTAAATTAAAAAAAAAAAAGTAGCCAAATTTATCACTCTTCCCTCTTTAGGGTCTGTGCTCTTTGGGTCTTGTTTTAGGAACTGTCCCCTACACAAAGGTCAAAAAGGCACTTTTATATCCTCTATTTTTATCCCTTAAGGTTTGCTTTTCACATTTAACAAGTCTTTGATCCAGCTGGCATATACTGTGTGGCATAACAAAGAGATTTTTTTTTTTTTGTACTCAGTGTTACTTATCATATAGTACTGTCCTTTTCTCATTGATTCATGACATCTCTGATAAGCTTTTGTAAAGATCCATGCAAGTTTCTGGACACAGGCAGGTTCCCTTAAATCTTTTTTTTCTAAAGGAGCTATCTCTTGAACTGTCTGCTCTCATTGTTGATGGTGACCTTGCCCAGGGCTCTGAGCTAGCTGCAATCCAAGCTAAACCTGAGCTTGTTTGGTGCTCATTCTGAGCGCTACCTCTGCTGGGCTGCTCTTCCATGTGGTAGTATGCGGGCTCTGGCTTCCTAAGTGCCAAAGGATAGATGGCAAATTTTGGAAATATGTGAGTCCCCTCCCTATGAAGCAAACCTTGACCAGTGGAAAAAGAAAAAAGTGTGACTCCCACCATGTTTCTCCTTTCATGGATAGCTTTAGGATTCTGCTTATTCTTAACTATCTGGATAAGTCTTGGTTCTTCCATGAAGCCTTCCATATATGTTTTAGAACTTGTCAAGTTCTATGAAAATCCTGTTGGGACTCTGAAACGTCACTGCATTTACAAGTTAATTTTGGGCAAATGGACATCTTTAAAAGACCAGGTTTTTCCACTGATGAATTCATATTTCTTCATTCTTTAACTGAGTTTCCTAAGTGTCTCTAATAATGTTTCTGTTGTTGCTACAGTTGGATATACAACTCATGTACTGTCTAACAATTTTGGGTCAGCAATAGATTGCAAATACATGGAGTTCCCACAAGTCCTACTGTCAGCCTACTGGCACAGTAGCTGCCATAACACTGTATGCCTTACTCATGTGTTTGTGGTGATGGCAGCATAAACAAAGATGCGCTGCTGGTCATATAAGAGGATAGCACAGGTAAGTATATACGGTACATAATACCTGATAATAAACAACTATGTCCCTGGATTATATAGGCAATATACTATACTTCCTGTTGTTAAGAGTGTACTCTTTCTACTGTGCTTACAAAAATGTTTTACTGTAAAATAGTACACTATCTTATGCTGGTATCAACTTCAAACATACCATGTACAATGTATTTCTTTTTTTTTTTTTAAAGCTACATCCCATTGTTTTATTTATTTATTTATTTTGGTACCGGGGATTGAACTCGGGACCTTCTGTTTTCAAGGCAGGTGGTGGAACTACTGAGCTAAATCCTGGGCCCTACATTGTATTTCTTGATTGCATCATTTCCTCTAGTGTTTCAGTTAATCTTCAGTTTAAGCAGTCTATGATGTTACCATGATGAAATCACTTAATGATTCATTTCTCAGAACATATCTCCACTGCTAAGTGATGCATGACTATAATCCAAGGTAATTTACAGTTGATATTACACTAGGATTTAAAATAATATTTCTGGAGTCTAATACCTCTATGTCTTTGGCATGTAATAAATTTTAAATTTCATATGCCCCTTTTCCTGTTTAAAAAATAGAAATATTAGAGCCATGCGTAGTGGCATATGACTGTAATTGCAGCATTTGGAAGGCTGAGGCAGGAGGATCACTTAAGTTCAAGGCCAGCCTGGGCTACACAGTGAGTTCAAAGCCAGCCTGGACTACACAGGGAGACCCTGTCTTAAAAAAACAACAACAAAACATACATATATATATATATATATATATATATATATATATTTATTCTCTCTCTCTCTATATATATATATCCTATATGCACAGGTGTGTTAGTCCTGGGAACCAAACTAAGGGCCTTTTTATGCTAGAGAAATGCTCTACCATTGAGCCACACCTCTAGTCTACAGTTCTTAGTGTAAGATTTTTTTTTTTGGTACTGGAGATCGAACTCGGGTCCTTGTGCTTGCAGTGTCAGATTTTTATATAATGCTCTTGTATGCAATCTTGCGCTGGGGACTGAACTGAGGGCTGCGGGCATGCTAGGAAAGTGCTCTACCACTGGGCTACATCCTTAGCTCTACATAATGTTCTTGTAAGTTGAAAACATATTTAACTACTTTTAATTAGCAATAATTGCGCCTCGGATAAACCTCATTGGCTACGATACTGCCACTGCGCAAAGCTTAACTACTTTTAATGCTTTGTAGATTCCCTTGGATTTCCACATAAACTATAAAATTACACATTTCTTCTTCCTTTACAAATCTATCACCAGTATAGTGCCAAGCAGAAGGCATGTCAGGGCTCCTCAGTGCTGCCTACTCTTACAGTCATCAGACTTCTAATGAGGGTTTTGGTACACAGCCTTTGTCAAGTCAAGGAAGCTCTGTTCCTAAGTCACAATTTTAGTTACAAAATGGTCTTCGTTCGAAAGAATATTTTTATCATCTACTGACATACTATAGTTTTTTCCTCTATTCTTGCATTCCTAGGATAAATTCTTTTGGTCATGAAGTATTTTTAAAAGCACAAAGCTGACGACCATGTTTTTGGACTTCATTGAGACGATCCCTTGAAAAGGTGATACAGCAGTTCAGAAGAAAGAAACAGAGGTAAGTAACGGAGAAAACACCTTCTCTTGAAATGAATGTACCTGTCTCCATAGATGAGCTACAAAGGGAACAACTTAAAGAGAGTTCATTAGTGGGGTGTGCTTAATCATAAAGCAGGTGGTGTTGGAGCACACAGAAGATTTCTTGGACTTTAGAAAGTTAAAGGAAGCATGTAAGCAGGTTTGGCCACAAAGTAAGATCACTGAAGTAAATGCAAAGCAAGAGAATTTCTCACAGCATGCAGAGGAAAAGGCTAAAGAAATTAAGATATAAAAAGAGGAGAAAAAGAGATGTAGAGGGCCAGTCCAGGAAACACAATC